AAAAAAGCATACGTACAGATATCGAGATATGCAGGAAACCCGATTCGAACTTACAATATAGCCAATCAAATGGATTTGGTGGGCTCTGAACGATGGATCATTTACGCAACTAAATAAATAAATGACGTGTTTGCTACTACTTCTCATAACTTCACGCATATTCATGTGGATTGTGTGCATTTTGGTGAACAGCACATTCTTCCGCCGCCGCACAAAAATGATCCGTCGCATTGGCAAGGCGTCGTTGCTCCTGTCCGTGGTGCCGATGGCTGGACGCGCTGCTCGAGTCGCTTCGCATGGTTCGGCAATCCAAGCATGCCGCATGCTGTCTTCCAAAGAGACGCTTGCAATGACTGAAGCGGACTGGCAACGGAAGCTCTCTCCAGCTCGATTTCGCATCCTGCGCCTCAAAGACACAGAGTACCCTGGCACGGGGGTGTATGATAAGCACACAGAGACAGGTGTGTATACTTGCGGTGGGTGCGGCTCGCCGCTGTACACGTCAGAGCACAAGTTTGACGCAGGATGTGGATGGCCCGCATTCTTCGACGCCGTTCCCCATGCGGTGAAAGAAATCCCAGACGCCGATGGCCATCGAACTGAAATCGTGTGTGCTTCATGCGGCGGCCACTTAGGTCACATCTTCCGCAACGAAGGGTTTCCCACCCCCACAAATGTCAGGCATTGCGTGAACTCGCTCTCGTTAGACTTCGAGTCGTCGCACCGTGACGACCCTTAACCACTCATCAATGGAGTTCACTGTGCGTTGCCAATTGACCATGGGGACCATGAAGTCGTCGGCGACGATGCGGCATTCGAGCACGATGGAAACAAAGATGATCTGGCTCAATTACAGCGTCTACGTGCTCAACGACAACAACATGGCTGTGCCACGTTTGGTCCAGACGTCGGGGGACTTGCCAGCGCCACACTTGAGATCGACGGCGATCATGAACGATGGCCGTTCGCGCGTACCCGTGCGAATGGGGTACATGTACAGCGGGCAGCTATACGTTCCCTTGGATGCTTTCTTTTTGGTCTCGACGGGCTTGAAGTGAATCATCGGCATGTTGCAGTACAAGTCCATCGGGTTCGGCTCGGCCAAGCAATCATGCTCAAAGTCCCACCGGGCGCCTTCTAGGAACAGCCCCTTGACGTACGCGCCGTCTTTCGGGCCGACCACGATCGAGTCTTCATGCTGGTTGATGATCAAAAATTCCCAATTGAGCGAGTCGATGGACACGCCGTTTTTCCGGGCCGCGGTTTGGAGCAGCGCTGTGAGGAATCCCGTGGGGTATGTAAACCCCGACAGCCAAAACACGACGGGCTGCGCCGTGTTGGCCCAGTGTCGCATCTGGTGGATTCGGAGCTCGAGCTCCTGTGTCCAGCTACCGAGAGGTTTCAACGAGGGATAGCAAAAGCCCCATGCTTTCGGGACCGCGCCGATCAGCATCGCATTGTACACCGCTTCCAGTTCGGGTGTGATGACCACCATCCCTTGCATGCCTTTCTCCAACGCGATCAGCTGGCTCTTGATCGCGCCTAGCAGTTTGTTGTACCGCTCCAATTCCTGCATCAAGACTGTCTTCAGGGCGTCAGGGTCGCTGCGCGTCTGCAGGTTCAGCTTGACGTTGGGCAAGTCGAACACGTCGGGCACCTTTTCTTTCAGATTCGACAACACGCCCATAATCTTTTCGTCATTGCCTTTGCCGCCTTCGGTCGCGCCCATCGCTTGCAGCCCAAGGATAGTTCCCAAGAGCTCTCGGCCGTTGTCGATTTGGGATGCAATTTGAGCATTCGAGTGCTGCCCGAACGCGGCGGGGGGGTCCTCGAGTGGTAAATTTCGAATAAAGTCTCCGTAACTTTGCAAATCGCCGTCTTCAGGGACAAAATACTCGGGCGAGTCCGCCAGGGGGGCCTGGTCCAGCTCGAGAATGTCCTCGCAGAAGAACTGGCCCACATACACGAGCATAAGGCGGCGATCCCAGTCGTCCGTCACCCGCCCACCGTAGTTTGCCTGAGCGATCAAGTACTTGAGAGCCTCCCACGGGGTGTCTTCGTATTCGTCCAAGTAGATGGCAAGCACGTCCTCCGAAATGGCAAAGTCCGACTCATTAAAGTCGTACGGAATGTTCCACCCCAGGTTGTTAAACTTGCGCCGCTCGAGGAGTAGTGCATGGAACCAGCACAGGCAAAACAGGAGCCGCTTGTACTTTTTCGCTTGCTTGCACCGCTGGAAGCGGTCGACAGTGACAGTGTTGTAGAGCCGAAGCAAGTTGGCACGAAGGCCGCGCGGCGGCTCAGTCGTCATTTTGATGCCGCGTTGAAGGATCGCGATGGGAAACTTGGGATTCGGGTCCGATGTGAGCCAGAGCCGAAAGGTCGGGTTGACATTCGGCGACGCGCAAAAGTTGTCGATGAGCTTCTCCAGCGTCGGTGCCCAACTCAACATCAAGTGGCAGTTGGCCAAGAAGACCCAGTTCCCGGCCTCCAGCCCGCGGGCAAGCATGGCTTCGGCAAACTGACTTTGCCCTTGGCCAAGTGCGCAGTTCTCGACCTTCTTCCCGAGGACTTCTGCCAACGCCATCAAGTTGTTTGTCGGGTCTACCCCCGGGGACAACACAAAGATGAGCGGCGTCTTGAACGTCGAGTTTTCGTATATCGCACGCAGGTCGAATGGTGGCGGGTCGACAAACTGTGGTCCGAGGTTTGTCGAGACAAACTTTGCCGCTTGGATCGTCACGCGATCCGGGCGCAGCACGCGCAGGAGAATCATCCGCTGGAGCTCGTTGCACTTGCCTAGGCAGAGCATGGACTCAGGATCATTCCACGGGTTTCTCGATCGAGAGTGATCGGGTGAAGCGCACCTTCCCAATCACCTGGCAGCGCTTCGACTTCGGGCATGCTGCTCTGGAACCATGCCTTCCAGGATTTGCCCGCCTGCTCAAACGACGAAACGAGGCCTTGAAAACGACTCATGCGATTCAAATCCACGACAGACATCCACACGGGCTCGGCGCAAAAGTCGCTGACAGGGTTGTTGACGCGTTCGTCATGGCCAAGGAGGTTGCCGCCTTTGAGGAGAAATTCGTATTCGTCCATGGGGACCTTGTTCATGCTTTGCATGACGCGGATGCACATTTGAAACGAAAAGAGCAGCTTGTGGCGCTCAAATAGGCCGCGGCACGCGTACGCGTACACGGCGTACGTATGGTAATCGTTAATCGCGTTGATGCGCTCGCTCAGGTCGTCCGTCAGCGTCAGCGTTTGGCGGGACGACCGACTCTTGGCAATCGATTCCTTGAACAGGTCCACGTACGAATCGAGCGAGAACTGGTACATCGGGTCGACTTTGGTCATGTCGTTCAGCACAAAGTAGAGTGTCGACGACCGGACTGCCACAGCCACATATCCCATGCGCGCCGCGTCGATTTTCTTTTCTGTCTCTTCTGATATCACGAGTTGCGAACTCACTTCCTCCGACGTCACTTTGGACGCGTTCAACGTGTTGACGAGCGATTCGTCGTCGAGCAAACTGCCCTTGGCATTTGACAGAAGCCGTAAAATCTCGTTTTCCAAGTCGACGAGTTTTCGCTTGGCTGCGGCAACTTTGACGACAAGCTCCGACTTTTGCTCTTCTAGCGCTGGCTCCTCCATTTGGACGACTGTACCCAGGAGCTGCGCCTCGAGCCCCTGTTCCTTGACGACAAAGTTGACAATCGTCGTCTTTGTCGACACTTCTGGCGTGTAGTGTGGATTGTGCAGCTTCGTCGTCAAGTAGAATCGAAAGTCTCGGTTGTAGTCGAGCTCTTTGTCCCCGATGCGAAGGATTTCGCGGTTCCCGACCTTGACGATGCTTTTGTTCAGGATCGGCTCCAGCGACGGGTCAAGTTCCTCTTGGATGTCTTGCATCAACACTGCCGTGCCAAATCGAATAGCGTTTTCCAACTTGCGCAAAAAGTCCTTCATCATGGGGTCCACCACGTCCAATTTCGACCCTTCCAACGACTTGATCCACTTGTTTGCTTGCCCTTGGGGATCGATCATGAGCGGCCACCGCTTGCCTCGAATCGTGACGACGCCGTTCTCCGTGGACAAGTTGTCACGAGGGAGTCCATGTGCGTTCCAATGGCGCACGTCCGTCGGGTCGGCGAGAAAGTCGGTGAACTGGAACCCCGGCGACGTGGGCAGCGCTTGTTGCTGTACGCGGTTGCTCCATGTGTCGAGAAGCGATGATCGAAACAGCGAATCGAACGGCCCCGCATACGACAAGAAGGCAGCGGCGACCAAAGCGTCGCCGACGACATTGAGCAGGGACGCGTCTTTCGTCGCAATCGACGTTTGCCAGCGCTCGCGTTCGCCAGACAGACCGGACACGAGCTGCGTTGCGCGGCTCAACTTGAGCTCGAGGACCTCTGCTTCCTCGCGCAGCGCGTTCTTTTCACTGACGCTGTCGTCGTACTGCTTCTTGAGCGCTTCGACCTTCTCAATGACTTCCTGGAGTTTGGTCTTTGCCGTTTGCAAGTCGCGCTGCTTGATCGCGAGCGCTTGTTGCGATTTTTTGAGGACTTCTCGCTTCGGTGCCACAAGGCGAAACACACCCGAATACACTTCCATAGCCAGCACCCACGAACAAAGCGCTCCCGCGGCGCTCGACACCTTTTTTACTGTTTCTGACTTGAACATTTCCTTGGACGTAAACTTTTTCAGGGCGAGCAAGGTCTTGTCGCGAATCGAGTCCTTGTCGAACGTTTTGATTTGTGTGAGGAAATTGACGTCGTTCATCTTGACCTTGGCCTGCGCCCACGTGGGAGGGAGGCCGAAAAGAACCATGACCCCACACATGACCAAACTGACCTAAAATTTCATTTCGAATCACGCTGATTCGACACACACACGTACTGCTTCAGGAGGCTGCGAATACACCTTGACTTCAGCGATCGACTTCTTGTCGAGCAGCTCGACTTCCGCCATTGCCTTGGCCAGCGCCGGCAACGCTTCGTCCAAGTCAGTTTGCGCGTCATCGGCGATTTTCTTGGTCTCGATCTCTTCCTTGAGAATGCGCTCGCTTTCCGCTTCGACTTGCTTGCGTTGTTCATCGGCTACGCGTCGCTCGCTGACAATGATCACGAGCAAGTCACTGCAGTCCTTGTTCTTTTGGGCAACCACGATCTTGCGCTGTTCCAACTGAATCGACATTTGCTCCACTTGGGCGCGCGATTCCTCTAGTTTGGCCAGCCCGTTCTTGAGCTTATCGCGGGAGTCAGCGATCGAGCTGCTCTTTTCAAGCAGCAGTTCCTACGCAACATGGCGTCGTGAGTGCCGCGCGATCTCCAACAACGCGAACGGACCACATAGCCCTTGACCAAGGCGAGATAGTTTGTGGGGGTCACGTAGTTGTATCGCTTCATGGAAGCGAGCATTTGCGACGACGCCAATACGACGCTGCTGTGGATAACGGCAAAGACGGCCGAGATCTTGGGTCGCTGCGACGGGGTCGCCACTCGCTTTTCTTCCAAGAACTTCATCCCGACCTCCTGCAACGCATCGATGGGCCACTCGTCAAACCAGTCGATCGTTGTGTTGTTGACGAGTGATGGATACTGTCTCACACGGTTGCGGAACCCTTTGCCGATCGGGCTCAGCGCAAGCACGATATGCAGGTTTCTTCGGACCTACCAACCCGTTCAGGCGGCGGCCAGAAGAACGGTCGACTCATGCATACCTCGTTGATGAAAAACGTCCACATGCTGTCCTTGGTTTCTTTGACACCTTGCGCCCGTACCTTTGGCCGAATTGCTTCGAGGATCCCGTTGATTTCGTCTTTTTCGTACAGCCCTGGGATTTCCCCGCTGCTGAGAATGTTGTTGATGTCCTCGATAAAGCTTTCGCTCTTGATCTGGGTGTCGCTGAACAAGAACGTGGTCCGCTTCCCGTTGATGCCGGCGCTCGTGTACAGCTTCTTCATGTCTTCGTGAAAGTCCATCGGGCGGTAGTTCTTGGTCACTTCAATTTGAAACAGATCGCATCCCGCCACAAACGATGCGAGCCGGGTCAGAGACTGGCGCCCGCTCCCGCCCACGCCAACCAAGAGCAAGCTCCCACGTGCGGTTGTTAGCTGTCGGAAGATCCGTAGCAAGTGCATGAGGGCATCCCCAAAGAGGACGAGATCCATTGGAACCAAGCCCGGCTCGACGTTGTAGTTATCCAGTTGATCTTCGACGAGCCGCTTCAGTGCCGTGACGTCGTCGACTTCGTCGTATTTGAGCAGAGACGAGTCGTCCTCCAACGGAGTCATGATGCCGCTAAAGAGTGGGCCGTTTTCCTTGAGAGTCTCCGGGTGTGATCCGAGCAAGCGGGACCACTCAGTTTGGAATGAAGAGGACAGAATTTCATCGATCTTTGCCTAGAAATCGGTCAGAGTCGCGTCAGAGTCGTCATGACGTCGTACTTTGAACGTGTCGCGGTCCTGCGCGCCCGTCAAGCGATCGGAAAACGTTCGTAGGCACTCGTGGACCCACATGCGGAGCATGCAGTCTCGACTCGTGATGATGTGCTTATCCGCAACGAGGAGGCCCGCGACGACCTTGGCCATGTCGCGCAGGTTGAATAAGTAGTGGCAGTTTTGGGGCGTCGGGAGGAAGTTGGTTTCGACGGCTTGGTAGATTTGGATCGTGGCAGACACGAGAGGGACCCCCAGCGGCTTAATTTCGTCGTCGAACTCGCTTAGCTTGGGCACGAGCATCGTTTCAAAGATCCGACGTAGCTGCGTGCCTTCCGGGAACGTCATGTTGATCAAGTTGAACCGACTTTGGAAGCGAGACGAAATGACGGATCGACCGCCGCCGGGCGGGCCCATCGACGCCACGAGTTGCATGTCGACAAAGTACTTGAGCGTTTGCTTCTTTCGGTCGTACCAACAACCGTAGTCTACCCACTGGCGGAGCAACTCGAGCGGAGGCTGGGACCCAAACTCGTCCTTTGCTGGCATATTCATGTCGTCCACGAACGTGATGAGCTTCTTGCCCCCGATCGGACCAAACCGATTCATCGATCGCTTTTCCATGACGTTTTCAATCACGTCTTGCGTCGTGCTGCTCGATGTGGCGCTGGAAAAGTTCATCACGAGGCGTTGGTAGTTGTCATGGAGCCCTTCCAGCTCCTTTTGGATGATCGACGTTTTCCCAACCCCCGTGTCGCCCACGATAAGCGCATGTAAGCCACCCATGACGAGAGTCTGGAGCAAGAACCCGTATCGAAGCGTGTCGACAGTTGGTACCATGATTTTGTAAAACGGTGTGCCAGGCAGGATGCGATACGCGGGGGGCAATCGCTCGTCCCACAGCTTGAGTTCGCGACCCTTGGCATCGACGAAGAACTCGTAAATGGTCTTTACGGGTGGGTAGATCGTGTCAATTTCGCGAATGCACGCGTCAAATCGCGCACGACCTTCTTCGTTGGCCGCCCCCATCACGCTCCATGTCAGGCAAAAGAGGAACCACCTTTCAATCATCGGCCCAAACACGTCCGTGCCGAGTGCACGATCCACGCCGTTGTCCTTGGTCGCGAGGACAGTGTACAAGTTGCAAAACGACTTCACGCCATTGAATTCGGACACGGGAATGAGCTCCGTGACCTCGGACGCGCGGAAATGGAGCACCTTGGTCATGTACTTCTCAAACAACGCGTTCAGGATGTCTCGTTCGTCCTGGTCGGTGATTGTCTTGGCGAGCCAAGTCTTGACATACGGCCGCCATCCCAAATCCTCGACATCCATGTAGACCATCCCCGCTCGACTAACCGTGGCAGGTGACGCCACGGACAAATCCTGGACTTCAAACAGCAGCGCCATCGATGGACTCATACCTACGAGGCATCGTGAGCATTCTGAACTGTGGGAAGCGCCACCATACCAATTCGATCGCCGTTGATGAGGGTCAGCACCTTGTTGTCGTCCATGACGCTGTTCATGCTTTCAATCCAGAGGGTGTCGACAGGTCCGTCGAGCATGATCCATTTCTCGTCGGGCTTTTCGTCACTCGCCAAGGTGCGAAAGATGGCACTCAGGATGCCATCGATCCACTCGAACGTAGACAAATCGTACACGCCGTAAATCTCGTTGAGCGAAATCGACTTGGGGTTTAGAACCTGGACGCGGACAGTGTTGTAGCCAGCCACGCCTTCTTTCGCCAGTTGTGACTTGGCAGCTTGGAGGGTTTTCCACACTGTCGACTTGCCGGCCATCGTCTGGCCGACGATCATGTTACAATGGCGCGTCGCCTGCGATTCGTACATTTGAATCGTCTTGAACAGAATCGTCGGATGCAACTGGAGTCCCTGGGCCGTCAGCTCATTCTGGATGGCCGCTTGGAGCGCGCCGTACTCGGGAATGGCCAACTCGATGGACGGGAAGAGGTCCCCGAGCAACAGCTTGAACAGAGCCGCGTCTTCTTTGACAAACTTTGGAGCGTTCATGTCACGAAGGGCCCGCAGAAGAATGTGTTCCTCTTGCATGTTGTGGTCTTCACGCTTTAATGCTCCAGCCATGTTGAGCACAGCTTTGAGCGACCGAAGGCCGAAATCGTAGTGATCTTGCTTGCTCAGCTGCTGGATCATGAGCCCATACAACGTCGTGGTCTTTTTGGCCAAGACTTTGGCGTCGCGGAATCCTTCGGCTTGCAGCATGACTTCGGCAATGAGCGCGAGGTCGGGCACCATCATTGCGCACGGCCGCATGAGCGCCTTCAAGTTGTCGGGGAGTTCCGTGCGGCCGGCATACCCCGGGTTCATCGTGATGAAGATTCCCATGTTGTGGTTGCATTTGATCACAGTGCCGAGAAACATGAACTCAGGTAGCTTCATCGTGAGCGCCTGCATGATGGTAAGCACCTGCTGCGCGACGACCGACAGCACTTCGATCTCAATTCGGTTGAACTCGTCAAAGCAGCCCCAGCCACCTGACTGGACGAGCCCCGAAAACATGCGCCCGACAGATTTGTAGTCGAGGCCGTCACTGCAGTTGAACACAATCACGTACTTGGCCAAGTTTTTTCCGAGATCCTTCACCGTTTCGGTCTTCCCCGTCCCGGCAGGCCCGAGGGGATTCCCCCCACGGTTCAAATGCAGTGCCGTCGTCATCGTGAGCACACATCGATCCGTGAGCGGCGTGATGACAAGGCGCCCGTTGTTGCCCTGGTACTCGTACGAGTACTGCAAGCACGTGACCGTTTGTTTGACTTCGCAGATCCCGTTTTCGCCCAAGTCTTTGTTAAAGTAGAACCGGAGCTGCATCAGCCATTCAAAGTCGTTGGTCGACTTGCAGTTTTGTTTGACTAGGCGGTCGATTACGTCACGAGAGTGAATCTCGATTGTGATGAGCGCCACGATCTTCTTGCGTTCGATCGATGTGAGCTGCCCACGGACCATGTCGGCGAGTTTGTTCAAGTACGATATCCATTTCTTCTTGAGTGTTTTCATGGCTTTTTTTTCGCCTTTTGCGACTTCGTTCAGGGCTTTGATGCACTCGTTTGTCCACGCGGTCTGACCGCACGTGATGAGCAACTGGCCCGGAAATTCTTTGATCCACTTTTCCTTTTTCCCGCGGTACGCCACGAGGCACGCAGCAAAGAGTTTCTCAAGCGACGCAATCATGGCGCTTTCGACGCGCAGGAGCCATCCTTCGACGGCTCCCGCCACAACAACGTTGCTGTTGAAGAGCACTTGCTCGCCGTCGGGGGAGTTCATGCCCGCGGCCTCAAACGTCAGGTTGTTGCGCGTGCCAGGATACAGCAAGTAGAGCGACTTGATAGCTTCAAAGCACTTTTTGATGTGTTTTTGCACTTGGTCTGGGTCTTTCTGATGGCCCAAGATCTCGAGCAAGTCGTCGTTTGAGAGGAAATAGAATCGCGGAAACATCATGCGCTTCGTTTCGAGGTACTGGTCGAGGCACTTTTGGATCCGGTCGAGCTTATCCTGCATTTCGTTGAGCGTGTCGAGAGTGCTCGGCAAGTGCGTTGCCTTCAACGCGTTCTTCGCGTGGGCCATCCCGGACGTCACGGAGCAGTACGCCGTGTTTACTTCGTCAAACAGAGTGCTCTCTAGCGGCAGTTGCTTTCGAATGTCTTCGGACGCCATGAAGATGCTCTCCAAGTAGATCCAGCACCGTTGGACGCCAAGAAGAGTCTCAATCACTTCCGACACGTGAGACAGCGCCTTCTCCCAATACAACAACTTGGTCGAGAACGATTCAAAGAACGGCGACGCCTTCATCGTGGACAGCTGGACCTGGTCGTCCTCGAGGGCCGTGAAAAGGTCTTCAGCGGACCGCACTTTAAAGTAGACCGACTTGTACTCGACAATGTCAACGTCAATTGAGTTCCACCGGGTCTCGATCCCGTCGAGCGCTTGCTCGATCGACAGTTCCTTGCTCGCGTTGCTCGACATGTTGGAAATAAACTCGGCGTGCAAGTGAAACCCGAGCGAAAACACCTTTTCGAGGGTAAAACACTTGGAGTCGGCATCGAACGACTTGTCCATCTCTTCCTTGAGCTGGGCCCAGTGACGCGGCCGCAGCGCTTCGTTCTTGAGGTCCTGAATGAGCGGCAATGTCGCGCGGAACTGGTCGATCTTTTCCTTCATGGAACTCCAGATCGCCCATTCCTTCATGTCTTTGCCAAACTTGGTGATCTTTTTGAAAAACTGGGCCGCCGTCGTTTCCATCGTGTCGACTTCCAACTCGCCAAACACATTTCCCTTCCACGAGCTCCACACCGACTCCCACTCGTCGTAGAACGCCCAGATTTGCTGGAGCAGCTCGAGTTCCTTTTCTGTTTGAAGGAACCCGTCGTTCATAGTTTCGTCAATGCCAAAGATATCCAGGCCTTTCTTCAGAACGGCCTGGCGTGCTCGAGTCGCCTCCATCTTCTTTTCAAAATCGAGGAGAATGGCATGGGCGGTCGCAGAGTCTTGCGTTTGGTCGGAATACGGCAACGTCGACACGGCTTCGTTGCGGAGGTCGATCATGTGGTTGCTCAGCTCGGCCACGTTGTCCTGTAGCGATTGCTTCATACTGATTTTGCATTTTTGGAGCATCGTATTCGCGTCGACCATCATCACTTCGTATGCTTCCCATTGCGGCCGCAAGCTTTGGAGGTCCCGCGTTTCATCGTCCGTGATCTGCACGTCAAACTCGGCGAGCAAGTCGTACTTGAGCTGAAGGGGCTCGAACTGGGCCTCGACCGTCGGGGCTGAGTCCTTAATTTCCTGGAGCAGCCCGATGCTTTCGCCAAGATGGTCCAAGTTGGTCGGCTTGACTTGCAACCGCTTGGTATTTTCTTTCATCATTTTGATCAGCGCTTTGAGCTCGTCGGATGCAGTTTGGTTGAGCAGTCCCGTGAGTTTGCCGATCCATTGCACGGTGTGGTCAACCAGACTCGCCTTGAGAAAATGCGTGTCGATTTGAATAAAGTTGATGGTGTTTGTCAGGTCTTCGTTCTGGATGCTCACTTGCTGCTCACGGTACCGCTCAATGTCGACGCGGAACTGCTGCAGCGGTCGGTTCGCCTTGGCGTATCGACGAATAAACGCTTGCTTGTCTTGGTTCCAGAGCAGCTTGTACTTATCCCAGTACCCCAAGTACTTTTGGAGCTCCGTGGCACTTGCCGACATCCCGTTCATGATGTGGACGAGGACTTTTAGTATCTCTTCGTCGTTGAAAATGGACTGATGAAACGTATTGGTGCTCGCCAAGTTGGTGGACGAAGGCGGGAGCGGCGACGTGGGGTCCCCGCTGTCTACGGCTTTCGATGCAACGGTGGATGGCACAGTGGGTGCAGGGTCGTCGCGGCCGTTCACGGTCGCCGTCAGCCGCGGCACAACACTGATCACGTTGAATATCTCCTTGGCCGCCGTGTTGACCATTTGAGTCAAGTTGACCATGAGAGGATTGAACTCGACTTTGCCTTCTTCCAAGATCACGTGGACTCGGAAAAGCGGATGCGGGTCCGTTTTCGCATCGCCGTTGATGGCTTTGCTCAGTTCTTGAAGGGATTTCTTGACGGACTGGCGCAGCGAGTCCTCGAGGGTCTTGTCAGCGCGTTCGACGAACCGCGTCCACTCGCGCTGGACATCACCAGGTCCGCTGGCAAAATGCGAGTACATGGCGCTCATCGTGCTGCGGATGTTTTCGTACGCGAGTTTAAGCTTCTTCTCGATATCGGTGCGATGGGCTGCCTGCTTGACTTCGAACACGCCGTCGTCGTACACATTGTTGCGCTCGATCGAGATGTGCATGAGCCCGGCGATCATTTTGCAGTTGGACGCGATCACTTCTTTGTTTTCCTGAAACTCGCGCACGATGCGGTACGTGGCCTCACAGTGCTTGCGGCAGTCGTTCACGTACCACTCGACAACGCCCTTGGATAGCCACGTAAGTTTGGCCAGTCCAGGTTGGATGCGCCGGTCGAGCTTTCGAATGATGTCATCGAACAACCGCCGCTCCGTCGTGCTCAGCTCGTACAAAATGCGGTTGTAGTCGCGTACAACGAGGGTCACATGCTCCCGCAGCACGCGAAGCTGCTCCTTTTGGTTGCAAATGTCGTGCGCAATGTACGGGATCTGAATCTCCCCGTTAAAGTATTGCCAATAGTGCACTTCAGCAAACAGTTGGAGCAGCGGCCGGTCGAAATTGCAGTGCAAAAACCCTTTCTTCGATCGTCCGAGGAGTTTGTCGGCATTATTGGCATCGATAATCACGGCTGGCGCGTTGGGGGCTGCGGTGCTAGCAGGTACAGCACCCTGGGCGACGGCTCCACCGGTCGCTCCCCCGGCGTTTGCACCGTTTGGCGCTGGTGCCGCAGGCGTTGTCATGTCCGTTCCTGTGCTGTTCTTGGTCATCAAGGGGTTTTCCAACCGCGAGTTCAAGTTGGTGGTCCCGAGCGAATTCAGTTCTTCGATCCAGTCGTTGTACTTTTTTTGAATGTAGTCGTGGAGAACGGCTTTGAGACCATCGAATTGGGCTTGGGCTTCGTCGAACTCGACCGCGCCAGGGGGAAGCGACGTCAAAAGTGACAACCGATGCAAGTCTTCCTTGACTCGAAGCTGCAACCCACGGGCCCATAGCGCCGAGCCCGCGTACTGTGGCTCTGTCGTCGAGAGCGGAGGCGACGTTTTGTTCTTTTCAAACAAGTTGCGCACGGTCACGACTTGGGCCTTGAACATCCCGTACACGTCGATCGTGCGTTTTTCAATGCAGCGGCGAATGGCCTCTCGCTTCGAAATCGTTTGGAACGCTTGCAGCAAGTCGCACCCTGCCGCAATCGTCGACACCGAGTCGAACGCGGCGTTGATCACGTTCTGCGTCATCGCTTCGAGATCTTTCACGCCGTTCTTGAATACGTTGAAATCGCTGTGCCAAAACGTTATCTTGACGTCCAGGATATCGTAGTCGAGCTTGCGAAGGCGGTCGATGTGACCCTCAAACTGCGTCTCGATTCCCATGAGCGACTTGACGATCTCTTGGCCCCGGTTCCCGCCGAAGCACGGCAAGCTACTGCTGCCTTTTCCTTTGCGCGCAAACTGGATCTGCCCCTCGCACACTTCGAGGAGCTCGCGGCATCGTTGGACAAACGCGTCGACCTGGGCAAAGATGCTCGTGTCGTCGAACTTCCACTTGAGCTGGGTCGACGCATCCGACGCAGTATTCACCGACTTGGCGACGTTGTAATATATTGTCTTCCACGCGACACCGCACTCGATGGTTTCTTCCAAGTTGCGGATGCTGCCTTCGACATCCCCGTTGAAGATGTTTTGGAGCGAGATTGTCTTGCAGCACACGGAGATGATTTCGTTGCTCACTTTTCGCAGCAAGCTCGTGATTCGGTCCTCCGTGTTGTAGAACCGCGAGTACATCCAAATGAGGCGGATTGAATTCAGGAGCTTGGGCAAGAGCGACGGAATCTCATACGGACTCGCGCCTGCCATTTGTTCACAAATTGGACACAGCTTTTTGAGAAACCGTAAGTTGTCGTTTGCCTCAAACGACCCCTGCTTGATGATCTGGCTTAATGTTTCAAAAGGCTGCAAGTACGACGACTTGGCCAAGCTCAGGATATCCACGATTTCCTTGACGCCTGGACGGTTCAATTGGTCCGTAATACCGGACAGATCTTCCGTGCGATGTTCCCAGAACTTGATTTCTTCGAGCGGCCCCGCGCCCTCGGCGTCGTGCGCGTTGTCCTGATTATTCACTACTTCCTTGATCTGCCGCGTCCAGTGGATTACAGTGGACTCGAGTTGTTGCAGTAAGTCTTTGTCCTTGTAATTGGCCTTGTCCAGCGCAATTGGTGGCAAGTACAACACGGTCTTGCCGCACCCTCGGCTCACTGTCTCAGTGAGGCTTGACATGAACCGATAGAACTGGGCGGTGAACTCTTTCTGGATACTCTCGGGCCATGACTTTTCTTGCTGCAATCGTTGCATATAGAACGTGTTCATCAACTGAAGCAACGACGAAATGCCCTCGCCATGGATTGTGCCAAACTGAAGGGTTGCAACTGCTGTCGTGGGTTTCACACTAACCTGGCCGTTCTTGACGAAGTACATGATCGTTGTAGCATCTCGGGGCGCTGTTATCGCGACACGGAGTGCTTGCGATGCGTTTGTCGAGATAAACAGTGCTGGAATGTTGAGCGAATCGGCAAACTCTTTCACGCATGCCGAGTCGGACGCGGTCCACTTTGCTTGAGTGAACCCCGGCAGACGTATCCGATCTCGTATCCAGTTGACAAGCTCTTCAGTCTCGTCGAAGCTGCTTGCACTCATCGCGCAAACGAAGCGGCGCTGACCTCTGCTTCACACGGCTTGATGAGGCTCGTCACTTGTGGAAGTGATGAAATTTCGAAGGAACAGCGCGTCGTTTCGCGCCAATTTGCTAAAGGTCGCGAAACAACCATCACTCTCGCACCTTTATCCGGATAAATTTATCGTCGTGCGGGAAGATGAATTGGAGGCAAATATTATATAGGAGGTATATTTTTCCCGGTGAATATAACAAAATTAGATGATATTTTGGTGCGTATATTATGTGCGGGTGCTTTTCACTTAGAACCATTTAAAGCGCATCATTCTCATGAAAACCAGTGCGTATTCGCCGTTGTTTCCATCCCGTCCGTCACTTCCAATTTCAGCATGTCTCAAGTTCGTGCTTCGCACTTGCTCATCAAGCACCGCGGGTCCCGCCGCCCTGGTACAGCTCACGCTCTCATCCCCTCGAGGTAGCGAGCGCTGACTCGAAAGACCTTTAGCGTCGCGCTTGAGTGACAACATTACGCGCTCCAAGGAAGAAGCCATCGAAATGCTCCTTGGTATGTGTGTGTGTGCCGAATCCTGTACATGTGTATCATCACGTAATTGGAGTCATGGTTCTTTCCTTGCAGCTCTCCGCGCCAAGATCGTGTCGGGAGAAGCTCGCTTTGAAGATTTGGCCGTGCAATACAGCGACTGCAGCAGTGGGGTTCGTGGTGGTGACTTGGGTCCGTTTGGTCGTGGCATGATGCAAAAGCCATTTGAGGATGCCTCGTACGTTGTCGTTGACCGAATCGTGATGACTTGCACCTTCGTCAATACGAGATGTTGCGGAATAGGTTTGGGTTGCCTGTCGGTGAACTCAGCGGCGTTGTGGACACGGATAGCGGCGTCCACATTATCCTTCGCACCGCATAATGACGTGGCTCAACGTCGCCCTCTAAAATTTCAATCAATCGATTCATTTGTTTGAAGCTATTATTCTGCCACAACATCCCCATGGAAATTTAGTGTACAACCGACGACTGTCGATGCCGACGCGGACCAAGCGAAGTGTAGTATTCTAACCTTTCTTGCATACTTCATACAAAGTGTAGTTGACACAGTGTCGTTTGTCGCGACCTCAGACCATCGTTATCAATGGAGCGTTCTGCGAGCGGGGGCGGCCCAAGTCATCCGCTCGCTTCCACAGGGCAACACACCCGTGATGGGATTTTGATCGCTGTCAGTAGGAACAAGTCGATAACCGTGCAACACGGAGCCAATACAGAGTGGAAGGCTGTTGTTTGAGCGGGAGCGAAAGTACGTCTCCTCGGCTACACGCAAGCAGCTCCGCTCAAAACCGAGTGCTTCCCCAAACCGCATCCATCGTATGCATTTCCTCGAGCTTCCATTACTGTTTCAGCTTGCTCTCCGCATCCTTCCAGCACGAATTGAAAGCTCTTCCTCTTCCTCTGTGCTTGGCATCAAATAGCAAACACCAAGAGCGCTTGAGTATTTGGTCGAATCTCGTTTCGCATTGCAACCGCGCATTTGAGTTCCATGGCCTGGCGTGATCGTCCTGAAAAGGCAGCTCGGCGCCACAGGATCATGGTGCGGATCTCGCCGAGACATTTGCTCGCGCATTCCACCCACCCCTCCCATCTTGGTCGAAGGGAGTTCCGCCCCCTTTTAAAACTGGACGATTGACGTAAACCAGGATATCCTGTCGCAATATTTTATCTCGGGATTACATTGTACTTGGGGTTTGTATTGAATTGTAAACTTTCTATTTCATTACACGTTGAATGTGGACTCGTCGTGGATCTTTTGTGCGTAAACTCGTCGGAATCAAAATATCTTGCGCTCAGTATGAAAATGTCGCCTGCCTGGTGACTACCGTAGGAATTATCATTGGAGTTGTGCATGAAGCACTTTTTTAGCTCCTCGGACGTCGGTGGGCGGCAATGGGTCTTGTGTGCTCGTGCTTGGCGGGCGCCAGCAATGGCAAGCGGTTCCGAGACCAGTACCAACTCGGCGAGAAGATCGGCGAAGGCGCGTTCTCAGTCGTGCGCAAAGCGACGCATCGACAGACCAACGTCGTGTACGCGGTCAAGTGCTTCAAAAAAGCCAAGCTGTCCGAACAGGACGTCAAGGACATTCATCTCGAAGTCGCGCTACTAAAACAAATGAAGCACCCGAATGTGCTCAACCTGCATGGGTTCTTCGACGAACCCGAGTACTACTACACAGTCATGGACTTGGTCGAAGGCGGCGAGCTCTTTGACCGCATTGTTGACAAGGTACCAAGCACTGTCCTCCCAATGAAGCCGTCGACAAGACATCTCTCGATGGCTCCACTGAGTGCAATGGCATGTAGGAATATTACACGGAGAAGGAGTGCCGCGACTTGATCAAGATCCTCCTTGAAACCATCACATATTGCCACAGTCTCGGCATTGTCCATCGTGACTTGAAGGTAACCTGTGCACATTTCATGCAGCTTCCATGGATGGACTCATGGCCGCGCATGTAGCCCGACAATATCTTGATGACAAGTCGAGACGATGACGCATCGATCAAGATCGCCGACTTTGGCTTGGCCAAGCAGGACAGTAAGGACAACAACCTGACTTCGTCGTGTGGGACGCCAGAGTACATTGCGCCCGAAGTCGCGCGCAACGTGATGATGAAGGACCACCAACTTTACGGCAAAGCGGTCGACATTTGGTCGATTGGGGTCATTACGTATGTCATGTTATGCGGATACACACCGTTCCACGCCAACAGCCAAGTCCAGTTGTTCAAGAAGATCATGAAGGGGCAGTATCAATTCCACTCACCGTATTGGGACGACGTGTCGCCTGAAGCTCAACGGTTTGTGTCGCGCATGCTCGTCGTCGACCCAAAGAAGCGGTACGTGGCTCTCGCTGGCTTGGGCACGTCGTCATGAATGATGGATTCAGTGCCACGGCGGAGGAGTTGCTGGCGGATCCGTGGATGACACTCGGGGAGAGCGACGTCAACTTTGCAGAACTCAACGGCGTGTCCAAGCGAATGACGTCGCGGCAACGTCTCAAGGCAGCCATGGCCACGGTAACTCGGACTCACATGTGCGTGCGTGTATGCAAACGAATATGGACATAGGTTCAAACGACAATGGCGCTGAACAAAGTCCTGGCCAACAGCAAGGCCACCGTCAACGAAGCGAGCAAGCTCAAGGCGGCGTAGTCGAGTGTCGGTGCAGCAGCAGCATGGCTTGAAGTGGGCTCCATCGCGGTGTAGAAAACCCACGTTTGTGGTTTGGGTGGGACCCCTGGCACGACGACTTGACCTAGCATATCATGGCGTGTTATTTTAGAAATGTGCATGTCATTTTTAAAAGTTACATCTGGATTTTTATGTTGATGTGTGGAGTTTTTTTAATATTCAGGATTAATATTGCAAGGCGAATTCTCCTTGGGTTCGAGGCGACGACGCAGTTACGGACTTAGGTAAGCATGATTATACTTAATATTTGTATACTGATGGCACGAACCAAGCCCATTGCGAGTGAATGTTGCACTCCATGTGCCAACATCAAATTGCCGCCAACGGCCCGAGATGGGGTGCTTCCTGTCCAGCCTTTGCGACTTTCGGCCGCGATCCGAGCGCTTCCGAGAGCATTATGTGCTAGGCAGGAAGATCGGCGAGGGTGCATTCTCTGTGGTGCGTCGCGCAACCCACAAAGAGACGAACAAGGTGTTTGCAGTCAAGTGCTACCGTAAGACGCGACTGACTGCTCGGGACGCGCAGGATATCCACTACGAAGTGTCCATCCTCAAGCAAATGCACCACCCCAACATCATCAATCTATATGCGTTCTATGACGAGCCGGAGTTCTACTACATGGTCATGGATCTGGTCGAGGGCGGCGAACTGTTTGATCAGCTCTTGGAGAAGGTACTTGCCACCGGTTCCACGGCAGCTAGATTTACCAAGTCATGACCTGCATAGGTACATTACTCCGAGAAAGAAGCTCGAGACGTGATCAAGGTCGTCCTGCAAGCCATCGCATACTGCCACAATCTGGGGATCGTCCATCGCGATCTCAAGGTTCGTCTCGTGCGAATCGTGCAGTTGGGTCATGTTTCTTCCTAGCCAGACAACATCCTGCTCACTAGCCGTCATGGTGACGGGCGGTCCATCAAGATCGCGGACTTTGGCTTCGCCAAGCAACTCGTCGACAACCACGACTCGCTCTTGTCGTCGTGCGGCACTCCAGAGTACATTGCCCCCGAGATCGTGTACAACGTCTACCATCGGACGCACAAAGTGCCGTACGGCACTGCCGTGGACATTTGGGCAATTGGAGTGATGACGTTCTTCTTGGTGTCGGGGGTCACGCCCTTCCACTCGTCCAACCAGTCCATCATGCTGCGGAAGATTGCCCAAGCAGACTATAAGTTCCTCTCGCCGTACTGGGACGACGTGTCCGCCGAGGCCAAGGCGTTTGTCGGCCGAATGCTGACGGTCGATGCGAAGGATCGGTACGTTCGTCAGGATTATCCATCAACAGTCCATGACATGGGCGTTGTTTTCACGGTGCCTTTCCTGTTGCAGCGCGACCGCCACCGAGTTGCTGCAAGACCCTTGGATTATCGGCCACGACGTACGTCATCGTGCCTTCGGGCATCCGATTGCGCACTTGGATTGCGTGCGCTGTGGTCGTTGGGCTCAATTTCAATATCCAGGTTCCAGCCGACCCATTGCCAGAAGTGTTACGGCGGATTCAAGCGCGGCATCGGCTCAAGATGGCCATTTCCACGGTACGATCGCGATATGCTCCGTGCACACGAGAACGTCGGCATTCGATCGTCACCGGGCTCGACATGTGACTGGCAGCGCTCTCATGGCGCGTTTATGTAGGTCCACACGAGCGTCATTATCGACAGCAGCAGTCGCCGTCGGCGCAGTTTTGTCGCGCGGTCCCAGCCGCCTTCCCCGATCTCTTCCAACGCCACTCAGAGTCTGTCGTAAAAAATATTGTAGTATACCCGCGACATCCCAGCAAAGTCTCGCCAATTTGTTTCAAATGCAAATCACCTTGTTTCTGGCGGTGGACGGTCTACTACGGCGTCGGTTCGTACTCGAATGGTTCGGGAGCCTCTGCCTCTTCTTCCGCGCCTGCTTGCGACGGAGCTTGCACAGCCACAACCGATTCCTTCTCGTTCGGTTGTCTGTCTTTCAGGAGAATTATCCCCGCGGGGCGGCGTGTCGGCACCACAGGCACGTATCGCTGACTCAGGTCAAACGACAGGTGCGACACTTGTGCCAACGTCACCCGCGACGGGTTCTTGACTTTGAACGACGACGGTTCCTTGACCTTTTCTTCAGGGACAACCTGCGAACCCGTTGCCGCGGTGGCGGCAGGAGTGTCGGCTGGGGGATTTGTCGGCACTTGGTCGCCCTTGTGGTCGGCTTCTTGCTTGGCCAAGCGCGCCTTGGCCTTGGCCGTCGTGGACAAGACGGCCGTCGCGACCAACTCCTTCTTCTCTTCCTTCTTTTCTTCAAGGCGCTTCGGGTATGCAAACACAGACGGCTTTGTCGCACACTCGACGGAAAATCCCGTCGGCAACTTGAGATCGTGGTTGAGGCCAATCAGGACGGTGGGTTGAAGCGCCAGCTCCAAAAAGTGGCTCATGGGGTACCAAAACCAGTGCTGGGACCACAGAGCCAAGCCCACGACGGCAGACATCTTGGTAAACCTACGCGCGCATCCCACCATGTTAGCCTGGAAGCGGAGAATGTACACAACGCATGTACCCCGTGTGCGATTGCATCGAGATCACGACATTGCGACCGCCGGCATCCAAAATCCCTTGCGCCAAGATCGCGCCCATCTTGGTCATGGTCGTCACGTGCTTGTCGGCCGTCAACTTGCGGATCTTTTCCGTGATCTCCTTCACTTTCGGGTGCCGGCCTTCGGATTCTTGCATGATGACCATGGCCAGCGCAAACAGCGCGCCCTGCCGCACATAATCGACGGCATCGTCGAGCATCGGCTCGAGCAATTGAATCGCTTCGTTCTTGAATGTGCCGGCACACGCAATCCCGACGGCAACGCACGCGCCGTATCGCACATGTGGGTTAAAGCTTTCCGCCAAGAGGGACACGAGCTTGGGGACTTGGGCGGGAGTACGGAACAGCACAAACCCGAGGCACGTGACAGCGGCGCGCCGGACGTCATCCGACACGTCGCTTACGGCAATATGGAGCAGGCGCTTCACGGCGGTGTTGTTGGCTGTGCCGACATACGCCATTGCAATCGCGTAGATGCCGCCGTACCGAATGATGGGGTCCTTGTCCCGAATGAGTTGCTCAATCAAACCATCGGCTTGCTCTTCGCGGCCGTACGCCATCAGTGCCAGACCCATGACGGCGCCACGAATGATCTTTTCGTGCTTGGTGTCGTGGGCATAGCTCAATAGTTCCTTGACCGTTTCGTTGTCGGCGCCAGCCCCCAAGTGCACCAACCCTATCGCGTACCCCGCACCTTCGCCCGCGACCGCATTGTCCGTAAACATGATATTCTTTAGCTCTTCGTACAACTCGGCATTGTGCGAAGCCATGCCGCTGAGCCCAATTCCGAGGCACGCGCCGTGTTGAACGGTCTCGTCGGTGCCAGAATTACGCAGTGCTGTGCGGAGAAACTCGAGCGTCTTGGCGCTGCTCGGGGACGTGCTGCCTTGATTGGCGTGGATCAGGCCGAGAGCGTACAGCGCCCCGCCTTCCGAGTACGGACTCGTGGGGGCGGCGCCCCCACCGGCTTGAGGTAGATACGGCGCCAAGAGGTTCATGCTTTCGCGGACGTGACCCTTGTGAATGACCCCGATGCTGGCGGTGGCGGTGAACTTGGCCCAGTTGGACGCCTTCCCGAGCCACTCGAGGTTCTCACGCAGGAACGTGTCGACGGTCGTACCGCAGTTCATCAAGGCATGCGCGCACACGGCCGAGTTGTGTAGAACCGAGTTGCGGTTCTCGACGGCGGTCTTGATGTTCTTCATCACAAGCGGATCCGACTGGTTCTGACGAAACAAAAAGTCCAGCAACAGGTCGACACTAAAGTCGCCTTGCAGGATCTGCTGCAGTTTTTCGAGGCGGGGGCTCGCGGGGGCCGATGCACCCAGCGCCGCACTCACCGCATTAAGAAACTTTTGGTTTTCGTTCTCGACCAAGTCAAATGCGACTTGGTATGCAATCAACGTGTCGTCCAACGTCGACGCGATCAGCGACTGCAAAATCGTCGCGACTTCGGCATGCTTGTCCAAGAGCTGTAAAATCTGGCAAATATGGGTGTGTTCTTGCGCTGGGAGGCTTTGGTACAACTTGACGAGCACTTGCAGCACCTGCAAGCGGAAGTCGCGGTTTGTTACGGTCGTGCGGGACACTTCAAAGCAGTACGCGAGCGATGCAGACACATCGGGCGATCGACGAATGCTTTCTTCGACCTACAGGGAATGTGTTGTTGGACGTAAACGTGTGGAATTCTTGAATGGCTGCGATCGCCATCAACGCGGCGATGCATACCTTGTCCAATCGACGAGACTCCAGCGCCACACCCAGCGCTTGCTTGAACGTGCCGGATGCGTAGCATCGGTCAAACATTTGCTCAACGATCGCTTGCATGCGTGGGTCGACTGTCTTGTCTTCACCGTTCGTTCGAATCGCAATGTACTCGTCAATGCACGTGGCTACATTTCATCACGTTTTTGAGTTGATTTTCGTCGTACTTTTAGCGGATTCCAAAAAAGAATGGTCCATGAGAGTCACATCGTACCGATGATGGTTTCGGTGTACTGAGAGTGCACGTTGACGTCAAAATACTTGCCCGCACCAAGGGCAAGGCGCAGCGCATCTTGGTACTCCTCCAAGTGAAAGAAACACTTGGATGCCACCGATGCAGCGAGCTCCCGATGGGAGAACGCCGCTTCTTCCGACAAACTCTCAATCAACGGCACGGCGTCCGCAATCTCAGCCCAAAAGTGATCCACGACCTCATGCAGCTTTTGCAAGGCATGTGCCTACGCACGGTATTTTCTTGAATACCCACGTCCCACGCGGCCCCGATTCAAATTCGGCGCAAGCACTTGTGACCGAACGTACCCGAATGATGTCGTCTTGCTCGTCCAGCAGTGCAAGAATGCCCGACGCTACAAGACATAGACGTCAGCACCCAACTTCCATGGCGATGGAGATACTGAAGAAAGGAAGCATCGCACCTGTACTTGCACGGGGGGCCAACGGAGTCGCCACGGCCAACATGATGCTTCTTCGCTTCCAACTCTAGCAGGATCCGTAATATGGGGCCATCCTGAAGAGACCTCCGCAAACGTATACTTTGCTGCAGAATCCTCTCAAAACAAATAAGCTTCCAGGTGGAGAGAGTGTTGGTCAAAGATCGGCAACACGGCGGTGGCCAACGCCGCGGCGGCGCCTAGTCAATGCTATACATCCACTCGCTCTTGATCGCTGATGGATGCATAGTGAGCAAGCTTCAGTGCACTCTGATATCCCCCGTAGTTTCCTTGCCGTCAAAAGTGCGTCAAGGGGCACTTTCAAGTCTCGTTCGACCGAAAAATGGATCGAGCGTTTAGACTCGCTTCTCGAGCCACTACGTTGACAACCTCAACACTGAAGCCGCGACGTCGGTGAACGTGAAATGGCCATTCGTGGGCGTCGTTGAGGCGGCGGCAGAGTGAACTCTAGACAGTCGATGACGCCTGGAATACCCTCGCCTTGTTAAACAAAACCATGTTATATTCATGTACAAAGGAAGTCCGCGTCCGATGTAAGGAGGTGTCGTTCGGTCATCCCCATTTCTTCCACTGCATTCCATCTGGGACTGGTCGATCTTTCTCATAATCCTTGGTGCTCACTTCGTTCCAGTTGGTGGACAGGACGGTGCCTCCCGAAGTTTGCTAGAACACGACGCACGTCAACATGCATGGTCATGAGTCACCCTCAGTCCGTACAAACGATTTGTTCATGGCTCGGCGTGTTGATTCGTCGGCCTTGGCGTAAATGTCGGCAAAAAGCTTCTGCATCGCGGCCTCGCCTTCGGGTTTTTCTTGTTCAAGTTCGTCCGTTAGAGTTTTGTCGATCTTATTCCAGTCTCGGTTGGACGCGTATGGTTTGACAGGGACGGGGTTCACCACGGGGGTGACGGACGCTTCAGCCAAGACTCAGTGCGATGCCGCGCAAAGGGATAGTCGGGTTCGTACCAGCAGTCGGGAGCACAGCCACGAGGCTGCGCTGGAGCTGGTCCCACTGAGCTGTCTCGGCCTTCTTCATCTTGATCTCGACTTTCACTGTGGACACGCGGTACGTGGATTCGGACGGGTCAATTGGTCCAAACAGCGCCAAGTCCAGCGCCTTGACGTGCTGTCCGCTGATTGTGAACGTGACCATGCACTGGAAGGAATAATGAGCAATTGGGAAATTCTTGAAAAACACACTCCTCTCACGAACCTGATGCCGGTCAAACTGCACAGCCACATCGGAGGACTGGAGGTTCTTTTGAAAGACCGATACAGTCACATGTGCCGGGCTCTGGTACCATTCATGTCTGGGACAAAGCGTCATGCACTGGAAGAAGGATGCCAAATATGTACCGAAACGCGGATGCAGCAGGTGTTGTGGGTGCTGGTGGCTCCGCAGCAGGAGTTGGGCAGGCTCCTTGGCTCGCAGGGGTGTCCAATGTATCCATGTCGTCATCTATCACGTGGAATCAAATCGAGGTGAACGATTTGGGGAATTGTGCAAGCAAGTGAAATCCCGCATACCTTCGATTTCAGCCTCGCACTTCCGAATCCACGTCTTGAATCGAGATGACACATTCTCCTGGTTGCCCGCTAGCTCCTTTCCTTTGACGAACGACTTGAACGCGTCGCGGAACTTTTCCATCCCAAAGAAAGCAATGCCCTGACGATAGTGCGCCATGCGAAGAAGTGGGTCGATCTTTACGGCCTCGGTGGCATCACGCAGAGCCAACTGCAGCTGGTTCAGCTTCAAGTAAGCACCGCTGCGTTTGGAGAGCACGTCTGCATCGTTCGGAGACTCCTTCAAAGCTTCCGTGTACATTTGGACCGCCAACTCGTACTCTTCCTCGACGAAGTGTGCGTTGCCCGCGGCTGTGGCCATCGTGACCCTTTCTTTCCAATTCCCAATAGTGTATCCGTGACAATATATTTTGGTTTTCCAGATGATCCGGATGACGAGCGGTTTTTTCCTATTTTAGCTTTTCGAAAATTCGAGAAAAATTTCCACTTGGAACGGTTTACCGACTTGCCGTGGTGTGCGAGAGCGACATGGGCGGCATTGAACGAATGGAGTGAATCCTTATTCACTCCATTCGTTCAATGCCGCCCATATCAAAGAGCCGAATGGCAGGTGATATTCGTTTTTTTGCATCGACACTTTGAAGGATGATACCGTTGGATATTTGATGTACCATGCAATTGCGTCAATCGGGGTGTATATGACGACTCAAAACCTCGTCGCGTCAGTAAAGTGGGCGAAATGGAGCTAAAATGACCAAGAATCCAACAAGGCCATTGTGGAATACAATACAGTACACTCATGAATACGTCTTCTTACGAAGCAACGTGCAAATGCGACGCTAGTTGAATGTTTAATCGAGCCGTGTTGTCTTCACGAATGAAAGAAATTCAATATAGACGGTACTGACGAACTCCGCCTGGAGCAAATAGTTCAAATTCCACACATTCATTGATTTCTATTTAATGGTACAGTATGCAATTTTGATAACGTTTTGTGTATCATGAACATGGAGCAATAACATGATCGGATTGGCCAAAATGTTTTATTCGGCCAGTTTTGACTTCACAAGTACAAAAATGACGCAAAAACCGACGCGACGGGCGGGAACAACGCCATGGGTTGCGGCGCTGCTTCAGAAGGAGGTACCAAGAAGGCAGAGTGACTGGGGGACACGGCAGCAGAAATGCGGGGTTCTGCGGAAGTGGACATTGTGGCAAATGACAACAGGAGGTACCAGCCTTGGCTTAGCGGTGCCGCTAGTTTAGTGGTAGGATATTTGCCTCCCACGAAGGGAGGCGCTCTTCTCTGATAGGGAGCATTGGTTCTACGAGTCACCTGCATCCACCCTGCGGACTCGAGCACAACCGTTGCTAGGTGTGCCGCCAATTTCTCAAGTGCGGTGTGACAGAATCGCTGAGTGGGAACGAACCGACACGGTCCATACGCCCATTGAATCCATGGATGAACAGAGCGCATTGAATGCGATGGCTATTGGCTGCATGCGTCGAATGCGCGGCGCTCAGATGAAAGCACATGCAATGTTTCGCAGCATGTTTGTCATTTCCCAGGATGTTCGCGCGCTGCATTGCGACAGCGATGTTAACGCAAGTTAAGATTTCTCGTCGTCAAAGCATACGTCTTTGATGGTGCTTGCCAAAATATTCATCGCATGCTCGAATTTCTTGTACACGTTGTGCCGAGGCATGCCGATTTGGTCCGCAAATCGGTTCAGTTTGCTACGAAGCCCCAACACACACACGAGGAACAATTAGGTCGTTCATGTCAAAGTGCAGCGTTGGTTTGTTGAAGTAAGATCACGTACCTATGCTGCATGGGTGGCAGCAGCTTGAGCCATGCGACAATGTCGTCGTAGTTGTAGTCGTGTTCGAGCACGAGATCTTTGGCACTCTTGAGGTAATAATCCATGACTTTGGGAACAATCACGTCGAGCTCGATGCCATCCATTTCCGCATCGTCTTCATCGAGCGACTTGGACGACCCGCCGTTGCCGCACTCAAACGAATTCTCCCGACGGCACTCTCGGAGAAAGTCGTGTTCCAGGAGGTCCTTGACACTCCACCGCTCCGTTTGATCCTTGATCAAGCACTACCGAGCCACAGTCAGGAACACTTCGCTTTGGAGGACTGGCTTGCTTTGGCGAGAAAGTCTTGAAATTCCGGTGAAAAGTCCGTCCCAGGGGGCAGCTTTGGAGGCTACAGAAACAACCACCATTGTAGATAGACACGACAAATTGCACATGTGTACAGGCTCGTTGCGGATGCTATGCAACAGCTCCCAGTACCCTCCCTTGGACGTATAGGGGTAGTGGCCCAGCGCACAGGTCATGATGGACAAACCAAACGACCACACGTCCGACTTGTACGAGTACGCCTGGAAGAAACCCCTTGCATGACGACGTTTGGACGAACGGAAAAGCCTTTCCTCGCTCGCAATGCGCTCGGGGGACATGTACGTCAGCGTTCCGACAAACGTGATGGCCTTGGCAATCGAATTCTCCATTTCCTTGGCAATGCCAAAGTCGGACACCTTCCTCACGCACCAAGATAAGTGGCAGGTTTCGAATGGCATGCCCCCACCTTGACGTCCCCAAAATGATTGATCAAGAGATTGCTTGGCTTGATGTCTCGATGGAGTTGATGGATTTCATGGAGATACCGAAGGCCCTGTGCCCATGGAGTCCACCCTGTTGGCACGACTTTCGACTAACATGGTACCTTCAACACACGATACGAAATGTTGGCCAAGACGGGCTCCGACGTGCACCCTCCCGTGTCCACGATATCTTGGAGGCTGCCCCCGTCCATATACTCGACCACAATCGACACGTTGCCCTCGTTCGGGTTCATAAATGCATCGTACAAGCACACAATTTCAGGACATGCAACTTTGCGTCTTTCCGCATCATCTAGGATTGAAAGCATCACCACCCGGTCGTAGAGCAGCCAAAAAAACCTGAGAGCGATGCCAAGTTGTTGTACAGCGTCTTCATTTCCGCGATCAGTTGGTGGCGCTTATCGTTTTCAAACACAGGAATGACTTTGACGGCCACAAGAAGCAGCGACGGCACGTGCAGTGCTTTGTGGACGACCCCACTGGCCCCTACCGTGTCTTGTCAGAAGGGTGGTGCGAGGGGCCCAACCGCACCTTTTCCAAGCACTCCAAGCTTGATCAAGTGCTTTTTCATGTCGTGGGGTTGCGTGGGTGAACGCCCCGGGGACCGTGTGATGCCTGTTTGTTTGATTTGGAACGACTCGGCGTCGAATGTGCCAGATGCAGACAAGTCGTATGATTTGTCATGAATCGAATCTTCCAAATCCAGATCGAGCTCGAAATTCAACGCTCCCAACGCAAAGTTATTGCGTTGGATGCCCTTCTTCTTCCCAGGGCTCCCGGATAGCTTGGGGCTGTCGGGGAGTTGCAGTTCGAGCACCTTGGGCTTGGGGGACATGTCCAAGTGTAAATTGAAATTGGGGCGGCTACATAACGTATTAGGTGCTGCTGCTGCTGCTGCACTTTGGAAGCGTACCTTATGCCGCGCTTCGACGGCGACGACGTTGGGGGCGTTGCAGGGCGCTCCTTTGCCGATACATGAAGCGTGCCTTTCGAATCGTCGTCACCACCATCCACGATATTTTGCGTTCGAGACCGCAAGCGCCTTATTTCATGCGCCAAGCTTTGCACGCTCTTTACTTTGTGCGGTACGTGCGCCTTCCCTTCATCCGTCTGGCACGTAAATTTGGGGAATCCAGATGTGCTGGTCGTGGCACGGACGTACTGGTAACCTTGCGTCAGATAACGCCAAATGACTCAACGCCTTAGGCACTTGCTTGAGCTTCTTGTCTGCTGTTTTGTCTCTCTTTTCAGGCACAGGCACTACGAACCCATGCAGGTTAGCCTTCCCTGATCTGACATTTGTGGTGGTACGATGCTTGGTCTCGCCCTTCACGGGCAAAAACACTCGCGAACTTGGATCGATCTACTCGAAAGAGACAAGGTGGTTTGTGTTTTGTAGCACGGACGATGCATGTGATTAACCTACGGGACCACCGTGCAGTGCGTTGTACTTTTCGGGCGGCGGGGGCAATTTTTTGGACGGCGTTGTTGGCGACGACGACTTCGACACGACTTGTGGGAAATGTGGGCTGTTGATGAAACATTGCTTGACTTTGGGCATGGCCATACTTTCATTCGAGAAATCTCGAGGCGATGTGAGCACGGCAAGTTTGCCCGAGTCTTCGTTTCGTCGCGGAGGCGACCCCCTACGTGCTTGTCAGCAAACTTAGCTGTGTGTATGATCGCAATACCCCTTGTGCGTCGGCTTTCCTTTCGTCTCGAGTGGCACCTATCGCGAACATCCGACGTCACCCGAGGGTAATGGACGCGCCCCGTACAGTTTTCGTCGTTGGTGACTTCAGTGGCTTCACCTACGACGGATGAGCAAACTTGGCCAAGAGAGCAGGCGCTATCTTACATCTGCATCGTCTTGCAAACTTTCCTCGTCAAAATCTTCGTCTGAATAGCCATCGTCGTCGATCTCCAACGTGTCGGCCATCGCGTGACCGTTCGATTCTTCGGTCGGATCTTCAACCCGTATCAAAGGGTTTCAACAAAGGTTTGTTAAATGAACCATTTATCCATTTTTCCTGTGGCAATCAAAATGGAAGGATTTGGCCATTTCAAGAGAGGATGAAATGTGAACATCTTCCGGTCTGGGCAATGATCGTGACGCGTTGTGGGCTCCAGAATGCACCCCTCGACTCTAACGCAGATATTGTTGGAAGGGAGCGCAATCAGGCTTGGCTGGTGTGCTTGAGTTGCCACTCAAATGTGATTATATTCCTTTGTGTGATACTTCTACAACTGCACAACATCTTTGATTTTTCCAGTTGAATACTAGTATTGTATTAAAAAATTGTTGGAATGTATATACCATAGTATGAATGGATCCAAATAGATACACAACTAGCCCAAATCTACCTAAATATATTTAAATATTGTATTTCTGCAATTTGAACTGAAAATAACATATTGAAAGTATTGACTGGTTGCTTTGGGTGCTTCTTTTGAATTTGCCAATCGATTCCCAGCCGCCCCGCCGCGCAGTCGACAATGAGTAGTCCATCGCCAGCGGGGAAGGGCAAAGGAAGAGTCAAGCAACCTGCGCCCAAGCCGAGACAAATTGCTACAGGCGCTTCTTCATCTGCGAGGCGCCAGTCTAGCGCCGGATCGACTATATCAGGCACACCGGTTGTGGCTGCTGCGAAACGGCGATACCGACCCGGTGACAAGGCGCTGCTGGAGATTCGGCGTTTCCAAAAGTCGACAGACTTGCTCATGCGCAAGCTCCCATTTGCACGGCTTGTTCGCGAGATTCAAATGAACTTTTCGGGCCATCAATTCCGATGGCAATCGTCGGCGCTTCTAGCGCTGCAGGAAGCCGCCGAAGCGCACTTGGTTAGAATATTCGAAGACGCGTGAGTTATTCTGTATCATGCTCATACAACCACTGATCACACCCCACCAACAAACTCGTAGGACGTTGTGCTCTATTCATGCAAAGCGCGTAACACTTATGGTGAAGGACATTCAATTAGCGCGGCGAATCCGTGGCCGCGAACACGAATAATCTCAGCAACTCTTGTGCACTGTCGTAAAGATTGAACTTGGTTGCTAGCCATGGACGTCACCGCGCCATACGTGTGTCCCATGCTAATGCGATGGCGCAAGAGTCCGTTGGCACCCCGGCCACTTGTCACCCCTTGTTCCTTTATACATGTCTTGACTACCCTGCAAGATCGCTCGTGGCGTCAACGTCTACGCCAACGTCGTCGATGTTGGTGAGCACTTGACAACTGGGAGCATTACCTTTGCGTACGTCGATCGGCCAAACGTCGTTTGTGCCAGTGTGACACCGATTTTTTCCATGGAATCTCGACACTGCAGACTCCATTCATCCCGATTCAGAGGAAAAACACGTTGTATGCTTACCATGTAAGCGCCCAACTTTTGGGGACACGAGTGGGCACAGACAGCGGCACCAGATATGCACCTACGTGTGTGCTGAATGCCGTTGGTGCGCGAAGACTTCATTCGTACTGTCGCTGCTGAAAGAGCTGTTTGCATTCATCTCTCCAAGCCTTCACAAAATCGGACGCTGACTTTCGTGTAGCAGTCGGGCCAATCTGTACGCCGACTTCGTACACGTGATCTGGTGCGATGCGCTGGTACTGCTGCACCATTTCCTAACGACGCCATTACAATGTGGCGTGGAAGAGCATTGTCCATACATCTTTCGGGTCCGCCTTGTCATACTTGTTACCAGGCACCCGTTCATACAATTCCAAAACACCCACGTAGGGAGAAAACACGGCCGACTCTGTTGAATACACCTGGACAGACAGCCCGGTGGCTCCTTCAAACGGCCGATCTAACAGTCGTCACTCTACCATGAAGCCCAATGCAACGTGCAACTTTCCAAGCGTACCCAGTGTTGCGGTGGAGTCCATGTGTGCAGTGATCCAGTAGTGTCGCCCTTGGATTAAAACGGGACTCTCCAGCGGCAAGCACGCTGCAAACGACGACGAACTCGTGATAGTTGGGTGGCCTTTTTGTACGTCGACATGGCCAGGAAGTGGCTGGACTTGAGCTTGAAAAAGCGCAGCATAGTACCACGTGTGTCTGTCGGGTGAATTCCCGTATGACCTCTTCTATTCCGCCGTGTCAAATGCAAAAAAAAACTCCAGGAGAGATCGTTTACCTGTCGCGTCAAGAGAATGCGTTGGAGGAAGTTCACCCAGCTGCCTTTGGCATACGTGACTTGGTCTACGGGAGAATAGATGGAAAATCGGCTTGCTTCAATCGCTATATGTTGCTCGAAGTCCTCTGTCGTCATGGCAGACGTATCGAGGTCATTTTCCAGTATTTCCATCATGCGATTCTTCCGGAGAATTGCGTCAAAGGGGACATTTGAGGTGGACGGATCTGCATTAACGGGTACAACATGATCGTGGAATGCATCAACGCAGCACGTACAAGCTTGAATGGTATCGCGAAGTTGGGTGGCGCAGTCAACATAGCGTCGGAATTCGCTTGACGAGATGTATGGTTCGAGGCGCAGGATGAAGTACACCGACACCAACGCATCCTAAACCGAACAGAATCGATTTAGAGGTAACTTGAATTCAGCCGTACCGATTTCTTCAACGATGCAGAGGGGACAACCGAGTCTAAGGACGTTCGTTTCGGAGACAAGGCCATGGAAGAGTGAAAGAATTGTACCTTGTTTGTGTGTCTTTTCGGCCTCGAGAAGTGCTTGAATGATACGTTCGGAAGCACCGGCAATTTGTTGGACTATGCCGAGAGCCGTCATGCCAGCGTGGTCTTGCACAAGTGGATTGGAGTTCTTTGCGAGCAAGCGTATGACCAACTACGCGAAATGCATGAGGCACCAACGGCGATTTATCGCCGACAACACACCTCTTCGTAGCCGTTCATTGCAGCATGATGCAAACTAGTTCGCCCAACCTAGCCCAAAGTCAGAGATGGCGGCACATTGGCACTGTGTACCAGGTCAGTCGAGTTTACATCGAACCTCATCGTGTCCACGAGCAAATCGATCTGCGCAACTTTCGCACTTTCTTTGGCCAAATTTCGTTCCATGGTCACATGCAGCAAGTTAAACCTAGAGAATATACCATTGACGTATTGCGTGCATTGGAAGAACTTGCCCTCTTTTGTCGCGAAGTGCGCGTGGGTCCAATCGCCAATGTCCCGGCCCACTGCGCGTTTGAATGTTGCCAGTCTCCCACCAAGTCTTAAGCCCATCCACTTTTGCGCCCATGGCGTGGTCGAATATCGCGACCAGCACTCGTCCTGCGTAGTTCTTGGCAAACGTGCACTCGGCGCTAGCTTTGCACACCTCAATGTTGCGTTCCTTTTCCAGTAGCAACTCGGCGAGTTTCCGTTCCAGGGACTCCGTATACTCTCGGAGCATTGTGGGGTCGTTCGTGGACGTAGGTTTCGCGGGTCCATCGCGGAGTGTCAGGTGCTGCAGCTTGATCAACGCGTCGTGACCCTCAGCAAGTGCGTTTTCCAGCGTTGACATGCCAATTCCGGTTGTCGAGCAGAGGAAGAAGGCAGATGAGGTGGTATAATCCAATCATCATCGCGAGTTTCGTTTTCCTTTTCTCTGATTGGCTGAAGCACTATTTTGCCTAATTTGGTAGATAGGCGAAGCCTAAACTAAGGTATTGCGATTTCACCACTGCATTTATAGGTTTGGCGGGAGTCGAAGAAAGGGCGGGCAGAGGAATATGTCGTTGGCGATCAAGGAACTCATGGGCAATAAAGTCGTGCCTTTGCAGAATGCAGAGGTGTGTGGATGAGCAATGCACGCTGCGTGTCGATGAGTGTATAACCTTGACGTGTTGATGCAGTACCCTGTATGTGGCGGCCGTGCTGTGGTGCGGAGACTTCCCGACGACAAGATTTCGCTGCGATGTCGCGGACAAAGCAGTATCATTGTCACACGCAAGTCTGCTACAGGCAACGCTCAACAAAAAGTCATCAAGCCCGGCATGACGACTGAGCTTTTGCTCATGGATGTCTTTTTCGCGAACGGCACGCTCGTCAAATATCAAGTGATTGATGTATTGGCATCAACTTCCACACTTGCTTCCTCTGCCACCGTTAAACCACTTGTCGACCCCCCTAAAGCCCTGGTCACTACCTCCAAGAATGTCTTAGCGCCAGTGCTCAAAGGTGTGCCTTCCTTCGTTCTCTTCTCATGTTAACATGACAACGACTTAGTTGACCCACCGAAACCACAATACCGTGTAGTACAAGCTGTTGGCAAAATCGAATCCATTGACTTGGCGGAAGATGATGTAACGAGCAGCGACGGAGGTGGCAGCAAAGGTTTGAACACGACAAACAAGACAGTGAATCTCCTCGACGATTCCAGTGACGAAGACATCGCTCCACGAAAGCGACTCAAGTCCGGTCGCAGCAACATCGTCGTATTGGATGACGAGCCTCAATCTAGTCAAGGTGGCGTTGAGTCGATCGACGAAGAGGACGACGTGTACTTGCTGAAGGAAACGTCAGTCCGAACAAAGCCAAATCCATATGCATGGATGAATCAATTCAATCGCGAGAACACGAGTGTACAGTCGAATGGGTGGATCACAACGAAAAAATCAGTAAATGCTACCAACGACGACTGGATGGAGCAGAAGATGCGTCCGAAAAAAAAAGCCACGCAGTCCAAGGCTGCAATTGCACGCAATGAACGTGCCAACCGCCAAGTGCCTGTGTTTGAACAAGATGACGACGACGATGACGACGACGACTCAGATGATGGAGACAGCTACGACAAGCGCAGCAATACCAAGCGGTCGAAACAAGACGAAGTTGCTGGCATGCTGCAATCGTGTGAAGCAATTTCGAGCACGTTGCGTCTGTCAATTGCGAAATGGGGCCAGTCGAACACCGACGAGGAAGTTGCTCTCACGGCAATCAAAGACGACGAACGAATGCTGACTCAGAAAGATATTCCCGGCCTGAATCCGTCGCTGGTGCTGCAGCCATACCAAGTTGTTGGCATCAATTGGCTCTACTTGCTTTACCAACATAAGGTGTCGGCAGTACTTGCCGACGAAATGGGCCTCGGGAAAACCGTGCAAACAATTGCATTCCTCGCGATGGTGTGCTCCCAGATGAAACAACCCCATCTGGTCATTGTGCCTTCATCCGTTCTGAGCAACTGGAAGCGAGAGATCGAGCGGTTCGCACCGACGTTGCGTGTGCGTACATTCCACGGTTCCATTGACGAACGAAACTTGATCATGGACGAGCTACAACCCGGCACATTTGATATTCTCCTGACCACATACACGTACTTTGAGCGCGACAGTGCGTCGGAGGATCGCAAGTTTCTGCGCAGTTTCAGCTACGGGTACTTGGTTTTGGATGAAGGACACACGATCAAGAACTCCAACACGTCGCGGTTCAAGCGAATATCGGCCTTGAAGACCCGTAACCGACTCGTATTGAGCGGAACACCGATCCAAAACAACTTAAGCGAATTGCTGGCACTGCTGAGCTTTCTCATGCCAACGATATTTAACCATGGATCCGATGAGCTACTGGAATTCTTTGGTGGTGAAGAAAAAACGTCATGCTCGAAGATTCGACGAATTCTTGCTCCGTTCATCCTGCGCCGTTTAAAGAAGCTCGTGTTGGCACAAATGGTCCCGAAGACTGAAGTTGTCCAGAACGTCAAGATGAATGCCCATCAACTGGCGGTGTACAACAAAGTTATCGAAACAACGCTGCTGCGAAAAGAGGCCAAGAAAGGTGTCTCTAGTGCGTCGGACAGTACCACACAGAGAACCAAACCGTCCCGAGAAATGAAGCTCCTCATGGGTCGTGCGCCATCAACCATTGTGCCTGGCAAGGGTAAAAACGATCCAACGTCCGACAGCAACGTGTTTACGCTGCTTCGGAAAGCCGCCAATCACCCAGTGCTTTTGAGACAGCACTACGAATCGCCGACCGTGATGGAAGTCTTTGCACGGCATCTGTACCGAAATGGCGAATTTGGCACTGAGTGCTCCTTGGACATGGTGAAGAATGAGATCGAAGGTTACTCTGACTTTGAGTTGCATCAACTGTGTCTTGAGTACGCGCATATTCCTGAAATGCTGGCACTTCAATTGCCGTCCGATAAATTGCTTGACTCTGGCAAGTTTGACCTGCTGCGCGAGCTGCTACCCAAGCTCAAGGCCGAGAAGCATCGTGTGCTGATCTTTTCGCAGTGGACGAAGATGCTCGATTTGCTCGAAACTTTCTTGATTCACACGAACCATCGGTACACTCGCTTGGACGGAAGCACAGACATCGAATCGCGACAGTCTCTCATCGACGAGTACAACGACGACCCCAATATCTTTTGCTTCCTCCTCAGTACCCGTGCTGGCGGCATGGGCATCAACTTGACCGCCGCCGATACCGTGATCCTCCATGACTTAGATTTCAACCCTACTATCGATGCCCAAGCCATGGATCGGTGTCACCGCATCGGCCAAACCAAGCCCGTGACAGTGTACAAATTGGTTACCGAAGAGTCCGTAGATAAGTCCATCTTCGACATTGCGTGTCGAAAAACTCAGCTCAACGAGACCGTGCTGGGCAACTTGGGCAAAAAATCGCGCGACACTCAAACCGCCGACATCCAAGCGATCCTGACATCGGTGCTCTCGTCGTACCAACCAACTCCTGCTGTCTAAGACAAAGTTCCAACACATGTCGATTTCCATTACCGCTCTGTTTTCCGACTCTTCCGCTTTTTTGAATGTGGCTTTGGTGGTGGCGCAGGCTCCTTCACGTCGCTGGGTAGTTGAGAGTCTAAAATCGATGCAGCAGAACTTGGAGATTCAACGGGCGGGTGGTTTGCCGTGGACACCAAGAGCTGATCTTGGTCCTTCTGCATCTTCGCGAGACGCTCCAGGGCAGCTGCATCTTCTGGTGTCATGTCTCCTTTCAATAGTGCCTCGTCATCGGTGGTTGCGTAGGCAAGATCGTAATTTGCCATCTTGGGCTCGTTCAGTTCGTCTGATTTGAGCGCAGGAACGGCATCGTCGTCGCTGTCGCTATCGACATTTGTCACCGCGAGCTTCCGCTGGACCTTTTCAAGCGCCTCCTTAATGTCGAGCACCATCGTATTGATTTCCAGCAGCGCGAACGGGACAAACTTGGCTTGGATCTCCGCCGCATTGAGCCGTCGGCTGACTAAATCACCAGCCGCGGCGGCCATTTTGCGCTTGCGTGGGGCTATTGCGACTTCGTTTGGCACAGCGTTGTCAGCATCCATGGCTGCAGCAGTCTCGTCCGCGCCATCGTCGTCCCCCACAACATCGTCGTTTTTGGATTCCAAACTCTTCTTGTTGGACTCACGGCGCATGCTTCGTGATGTCAAGAGGTTTCCGCCGCTGCTTCGAGGTAGCATTTCCAGCAACCCTCGCTTACTCGGGACTTTGCTCAAGAAGTTGGCGATGAACGTCGTTCGCGTCGACCGCCTCGCAGTGCCGTCGCCTCCCGTCCCAGTCTCGTCCGTCTTTTTGGCCCTTTCTTGAATGCTCTTGAGCTTATCTGCCATCTTCTTGGCCTTGTATACGCCCTTCCACGTATTGCTCAAGCGCCGGCGCATCATGGACTTTTGGACCAAGTGGTTGAGTTGGTTCTCGACCTTCTTCTTCGTCGTGGGCGACCGAATGTTCTATGACGACGCCTTGTCAAGACACCGCGGCACCGTGTGTGGCTGTGCTGCCATACCATGTTGGCCAGCTGACGAGTCACAACGGACTGCTGCATCTTGGTGCCGAACTCGGGATATTCGGCCAAGATCTCGTTGAAAGCCTAGACCGCACGACGGCGGCGTACTGAGAGTCGAGAAAACACAACGATGGAGCCGCGAAGACAACATGGACACATACATGCTTGCTCAACACGTTCAGGTCGCAAATCGTAATGGCGACTACGGTGTTGGTTCGCCGAACTTCAGCAACGAGGGCAGTTTCGCCAAAGAAGTCGCCATCGTGCAGGATGATGCGCGAGTTTGGGACGGTCGAAAGGTGCTTGCTCGATAGCGACATACGTCGGTACGTGGACTGGGGTGTCGGGCTCTCGGCGGTCAAGACTTCGACTTGGCCTTTTCGGACGATAAACATTTCGCGGCCAATGTCGTCCTTATGGATGATGATGTCTACGAGGGAATGCTTGAGCGGGAAGATCGCTTCCACGAGATGGCGCACCGCCAGGGAGGTACACGGCTGTGTCGAGCGCCATGCAAACTTTGCCAAGGAACTTCGAGTCGGATCCGGCAAAGATCGGTACTGTGTTGAGCAAGTCTTTGTACCTAGACAAGAGCCAGAGAGGGGTTGGAGGCGTCGTTAGGTTGCATGGCATGTCGAACAAGTGAAGTGCTATCGTGGTCCGCAGGGGCTTAGACAGGCCAGGTTGGTTGAGCAGCGTCATGTCAGCATATGCCCGCTGGTTAATCCACAAGTAATCGTAATTGCGCTTCACGCGATGCTGGGATCGACGTCGGTGAGCATCCAACTGTCCAAGGCGGCGCATCGGACAAACCTGGAGCTCCCCAGGTAAGTTGTAGTGCTTCATTTCGGACGAGATCACGTCCATGCGGTTGCGAAAGCTCGAACTTTGCTGGTCCCAGCTACACGCATGTCAAGATGTGCTCTCGATCGCGCGAACGGACTGTGCACCTCATCATGAGGGTCAGGATGTTGCCAAACATGAAGGAGCACATCATGGCTCCCATAATGGCGATCGCGATGCTGGGGTAGCCCCCGTGAGAAGGATGGGTCGCTGCCGTCCAAAGGGAAGATGAGGGCCGTACCATAGCCCGTACATGGACGGCTTGACTGTGACCGACGGTGAGCTCAAGTACGGCGACGCTTGGAACGAAGATCCCTCGCCAATGCCCAAAAACAAGAGCAGGACGTTGTAAAAGCTTTGTGTGTACAGTTCAAATGCCTAGGCAAGATCATGCGAGATGTAATCGGTCGCCCAACGCTCTCGTACGTACTTCGTCGGGGGGGCACCCGATCGTGTCGCACTCGTTAAAGACGTACACCCAGAAACAACTACGACACGGGGTGGTCAAGCAATGGGGGCGTCCAGTGGCGGCGTACGTCAAGCAGTGGAGGCAGAGCACCATGGCAGACGACGTCAAGAGCAAGTTGTAGTACTTGGCGTACTGGCGCAAGTATTTGAGGAGAATGCCAAAGCGCAGGAGCTTGGGGAGCTTTTCGAGCTTGACGAATTTCATGGTCGAGTTTTGTTTGTTCATGGAGCTGTCGGAAAACACCTTGTCGAATGGGATGTTGGAGATGAGGTCGATCAAGAACCACGACCGGAGGTAGTGCTGGGCGACGAATCTCGCGTCCATGCGGACTTCGCCCGACGCAAACACACCCGTCCGGAACGACAGAATCATGTCTACCACACACACACGTCGGATCATGACGTCGATCGTGGACGGGGGTACCCGCGACAAAGCACACGTTCAGGAACGTCTCGACGGGAGACAAGAGGTCCCACTTGAGGAAATCGAAAGCCAAGTAGACCGGCGTCTACACATTACATATCCAGTCGTGGAGGGGCACTGCCACGGCACGACGTACGACGTAGCACACGTAGAGCACCATGAACGCAATCGTGGTGTCCCAAATCTTGCGAAAGTTGGAGTTTGGGTGAATCATCCACGCAAACGAGAGCGTTGCGTCATGGTAAATGTCAATGTTTTCGTGGCATGCTTGCAAGACTAGGAGCGAAGGGAGGTCGCTGTCCGGTGGCAAGGCACATTGTACGTACACACGAACGCGACGACCCGCCTCAACAGGGCCCTCCCGACCGACTCGGTGGCTGCCAAGGGACACGGCGTTGCATGATCTACCGCAGGGGGCGGGGTTGGCATGCCTCCCACGGGGAGCACGCGATTTGACGCAGCGAACGGAGCTGTATCCCTTGATGCGGTAGTGTTTTCGTGTGGCGGCGAAGGGGTGTCGCAGTCGTCGCGTGTCGGTGTTTCTTGCATGGACGGAAGCGACACAGCCGAGTTTACTTTTCCCGCTCGGTGGACGGACGCACCGCGGTAGCTGTCAAGGATTCCCTGTTCCGATGGAGTGTACTGCAGCGGCGGGAGCTGCTGGCGAGGACCTCCAGGTGATGCATGCTCCATTGGTGCGTTTAATGTGCCGCCAGTTTCGTCGGTCATGTTCGGTTACATTGTCGAAACGCCATGTCCGCAACACTCGGACTACGACCTGTCAACTTCATGACCACAGTCCGATCAATTTTCAGCCTTAGGTGCATTAAAAAGGGTCGTGCCGTGCTGGTCCTTCAGCAGCCTCAAGTCGCGCGCGACGCCCGCCATGGCATCGTCGAAGGTTTCCAGAAACTTGGGCAGACACTTGGCCGACTGTTCCACCACAGCGAGCCGATTCGACAGTTGTTCGAGCATGAGTTGGTTCGTCATAGCACGCGAAACACTGCATCGACCATCGTTGTCGGCGTCCTGCGTCGTCGACGGCATATCCTCGCTCTCGGACCGGGCTTCGAGGACCGCATGTGCAGCTTTCGTGGTTTGCCTTCGTTCGTCGTGTCCTCCAGGGACCTGTTGAATAGTCTCATGTTGTGTGTGGTTGATGTTGTCATCAATGGGTATGTCGGGTTGTGGGGCAGCGCTACTGCCGCCTTCTTCTAGCGCCGTTGTGTCGTCGGGAATGCCGTTGGTAAGGCGCACGACCGCATCGACGATGACCCGCCGTTCCTCAGGTGGGACTTCGAGAGCTTCAAGGATTCGACGGATCGAATCAGGACGAACTATCGACCGCTTGGACACTTGTCGCCTCGGCACGGCACTGCGTCGACTCATACGACCCCGTGGGCGGTAGATCACCGTCGACAAGCGTGGGTTGCGCTCTTGAGCGAGGCGAACTCTTTCCGAAATGTTTTTCAGCTTGTTCCCAACGCGCTTGGCGTTGAGCACTCGCCAGTACGGCGACGTCGTGTCGTGGATGCGCCGCTTGGCAGTCTCGTTCACGACGTCCGTCAGCTCCGCCTCAATGATGGCTTTGTCCTTGGGCGACTTGATGTGCTGCAAGGAAAAAATCCACTCGATGCTGAGGTCGTTTTGCATGAAGCGGGAGGTTTGTGCACCATGTTGTTGAGCTGGCGCTGGATCACGACGCGCTTGATCTTCTCGAAAAAGTCGGGGAATTCCGCCAAGATGTCGTCAAATGCCTACAGCATTGGTCTGACGCGCCCCTTTCGTGCCTCAGGACTCGTACATGCTTGCTGAGCACGTTCAGATCGCATATCGTGACGGCGCGAACGGTGTTCGTTCGGCGGACGTCCACGACCAGCGCAGTTTCTCCAAAGAAGTCTCCATCCTTCAACTGGATGTGGGGGGGACCGCCGGGCACTTCGACATGGACGAGTCCCCGCCGGACAAAAAACATCTCACGCCCTGTGTCGCCTTGTTGGATGATCGTGTCTGCCGGGGACGTTGTGATGGAGGCAATTCGTCAACACGTCGATTACCATCCGGCAAGTACACCGCTGTCTTGAGCGCGAGGCAGACGCGGCCAAGAAATTTGGAGTCTTCTCCGGCGAAGTACGGCACCGACTCGATCAAGTCCCGGTACAAGTGCAGCGCAATGTTGGTTCGCGTCGGCTGGGATATTCCTGGCTGATTCAGGATGCTCATCTCCGAGTACGCTCGTTGCTAGCCATGTCAAACGCCGGTGTGACGTGCTGCCACGAGATCAAGCACTGGACAACGAAACACTGGCATGACCCACGAAACAGCATCCAATGCAACGAACATTCAGCCATAAGTAGTCGTAATTGCGACGGACGCGGCGCTGGAGGTCCATGGGCAGGTCGTAGTGCCGCATCTCGGCCGAGATGACGTCCATGCGGTTGCGGAAACTGGCACTTTGTTGGTCCCAACTAGTCACATCTTGGTTCGTCGCCCACCCATCGAGTGGACTGTACCTGATGATAATCGATAGGATGTTGCCAAACAAGACCGACATGGTCGAAATGCCGAGGATCATGATGCCCAAGCTACGTCCGTTCGGTAAACGTCGCCAGCAAACGGTCGCGACGGCTGGATGAAGTGGGGGGACGGCGCACCTCAACAGGTAGCTGCTCGCGGATGCTCGTGCATCTGGCGTGGCCAGCACGGGCGTGATGATGCGGTAAGTCGACTGCTGGCCAGACCCAATGTAGAGCAGCACGACATTCGTCAACGCTTCGAGGTAAATCGGTCCGATCTACACGATGGACGTCACAAGGAGCGGGCAGCATGGAGAGAGGCGGCAGTACGTCCAGGGTGGCTTGATCGCACATCGGGTCCGTCGGAGGGATGTCGTGGTCGCACAAAAAGTACACATAGACCCAAATGCACCTACGATTCGCGCGCATGGACACACACGTGGAGAATCCCGCGCATCGCGTACGAGAACGAGTGCAAGCTGACGGCCATGACGCACAAGGTCAAGACAAATTGGTAGTACTTGGCGTATTGGCGCATGTACTTTAAGAGGCGCGTGAACCGGAGGAGCTTGGGGATCTTTTGAAGCTTGAGGAACTTGATCGATTTCGGGTTGGCCGTCGCCGACGTCAAGACGAATCGAAACGGGAGATTCGACACGAGGTCGACAACGAACCACGACCGAATGTAGTGCCGCGACACAACCTGTGGGTCCATCTCGACCTCGCCACTGCACACAAACCCAGTCCGGAAGCTCAGCACCATGTCTACGCGATAAACGGGAACACGATGACGACGACGGGCGGGCCATGCCGTGGGTGCGCGCACCGACGATAAAGTACACGTCAAAAAACCACTCGAGCGGGTCCACCCACGGCAGCGCCTCCATGTAATGGTCAAACGCGAGTTCGAGTGGCATCTACGTATGCCAGTGACGCATCGGACGCCACGAGCCCGGGCGTACAAGTACACACACAACGATCACGTTCACGGCGGTCCAGACGTCCCACGCCCGCCGAAAGTTGGAGTTTGGGTGAATCATGATCTTCGTCTTCTTCACCAACGTGTGAAAAATGTCGATGTCTTGATCGCGGTTCGCGAGCTGCTGGACTACACACAGACCGCATGGTGACGGCATCGCGCCGGACGCAAGACGTACGTGCGACTTGGCCGCATGTGTCCAAGAACATGGTCATTTGGCGCGGCAACGACGTCACTGCGTTGACTCGACGGCGCGCTCGTGGCCGCGACAGCTTCCCCTCCGGCGTCACGGAGCTCATCGTGTAGATAGTCCAAGGGGGTGGCTCGGTTTCATTCGGTGCGAGCGTGCTCGAAATAGACGCGACAAGCGTTATTCCAACGAGACCATTCTCGCCACACCACCCCGTGTCCGTCGCGGCCGATGGATATCCTCGAGCAGAACTTGGCCTTGCGCGAGCTGTGGTAGGCGGCGCCGGCAAATCCCACATACACTGATCGATTCGTAGGAGCCGACGACACGAGTATGGCCTTGAATTTGTCTTGGACGGTGTGGTCCTGCCGACTGCCCGACGCAGAGAGTGTGACTGGGACGAATGTAGAGATGAATCGATTGCTGGAGATGGGGCTCATCTCGGACGAAGATTTTGCACGTACGAAAATCTCCTCGTCGTACAAGTCACCATGAACCGTGGTCCAGGTCTTATGGCGACGGGCGGAAACCTCGACACCGGCAGACGACCACTACGAAACGTGGCGTTGGGCGGTCATCAACCACGACCGACCGACACCCAGCTCCCAAAAGGCCAAGTGCTGGCCATCTTGAGCCAGCACGCAGAGACTACCAAACACAATGAATGGACGAACAACATCCAAGAAGCCGTCCGAGGCGTCATTTCGGCAATTCTCGACCAAGAAAAATACTCCTCGCTGCCAGACATGCAACGTCAAATCGAAGCCGCGCTTCACGTGGACATGCGACCTCATCTGGACTGGCTGCAAGACACTGTACGAACGCAGCCCTCCCCCCCGCTAGCATGTTGCTCATGGCATGACGCAGATCTTTCAACAGAGCAAGCAAAAGCTCAAACGAATCAACGACGCGGCCGAACTCATTCGTGTCGGCACGGCAACCACGCGTGTGCAGCGGACTTTCCGCGCGCGGCGTTGGGCATTGCGCCGTCGTGCGCGACTTCGACAGGAACAAACACGACTTGCGGCCGACCGAGTCGCACGTCAAGCGATTGAACGCTATGCTCTGGACGTTGTTGGGAGATGCGTGGGGCGGTATGTGTTTGTTCGTCGATTTCGTCGTTACGTCGTCAAGTTGCAACGAGAAGCAGCCTGGCAGCATGGCGTGGACATCTTGCGGCGGAATGTGGCACAGCACCATGTCGCCAGGTGGATACGCGAGTCGTGGCCACGATATCGACGAGCGCAGGAAACGTGGTTGCGACGGATGGCGCTCGAGTCGTCGGTCGCCACGATGGCGCAAGCGCTAGTGCGGGGCTTCCTCGTGCGCCGCCACCACTTGCGCCAGCACGAGTCCGCGAGGCGCATTCAAAACCAAGTTCGTCTCCACCACCAAATCCTAGCTCAACGAATCGCTGCCACGAGATTGCAAATGTGGACGCGCCAGCGCATGGTTATCATCCGGATGCATGCGCACCTTCGACAACGAACGGCCGCTGCAAAATGCATCCAAGCGATGTATACCCGGTGGCGACACAAATGCAGGCAGCGAAATGCAGCTGCTGTTGTGGAGGTTTGGCGGTCCAATCACTTGGCCGTGCGCAAGGCCAAGGAGGTGGCAGCACGGTTGCGATGGCAGCGGATGCAGGTGGCGAGTTGTCGAACGATCCAACGTCGATTCCGTTGTGCCCTCGCGCGTTTGAACAAGCGACGACTCGCTGCTGCACATTGCATCCAGCGCAACATACGTCGCCATCACGCGCGTGTGCTTCGACGTCAAGCAGCTGGGTTGCGAATCGTTCGCTACGTGTGGGCTTGGCGCGCCCGCCGAGACCTTTTCGTTCGGCGACTGTTAGAGATCGTACGACAGAAATGCTGTGCAAGGAAGTGGGCAATGCAGACACGACGAAACGATGCGACGGATGTCCTTGCAGCGGTCGTCCATCGGTGGGTGGCTCGGTCGCGTCAAGCAAAACAAGCTGCTGCAACGACGTTGGGGCGGTGGATGCGACGGTACCTCGCTCGCAAACGGGACCTGTTGGAGCGCCGTCGACGCTCCAGCGGCCGAGTTCCCATTCGCCCACCAGCCAAAAAGCCATACTCGGTGTCAGCCGCAACGATCAAGCCGACGGACCCAGTCCAACTTTTACCCCCCGTGCGCCTCGTGAAGCGATTCGACAGGATGTGTAAGACTTGTCACCGCCACGCCCACCCACACGCATGCGAAGGCATCCACGCGTCATCGCCAGTCAAGAAAATGGTGGCTGTCCGTGCGTTTGGTGGGCGGGTGACAAGGGCCACCGCCCTGCGCGCTCACGAGTTGCTGCTTCTGGGCAACAAGCCACCGAATCGCCGACTCCAAAGCCAGCCGCCATTTGTAGCCAAACCACCAGCTTTCACCGAGATGACCAAGCCATCGCTGCGCAAGAGCTTGTCCATCGTGCATGGATTGCCAAAGAGCAGCAATCAAAGCACATGATGGACATTTGAAACATGTGCATTGTCAAACGTGATACGACTGTGCAATGTCAGACAAGCCAATCAGCCAGAGCACACACGAGTGCGACAATCGCAATGTTGGCTGCTCCTGGGGGAGGGGGCGCAACAGCTTGACGCAGATCCTTGGAACCACAGGTGCTTGCCGCTGCGACACGGCTCTCTCCGTCTGCCAGTTCGCGCCCCTGATTCAATCCACCACCCTCACGCAGCTCCCCCTCCACCATGGCGAGATGCATTCGAAAACTCATGTCCTTCTCGCGTATATCGTTGTAGACAGCGTGACTTGACTGAAGATACACGTTGTGTCCCGTCGCCAAGAGATTGCTTGGAACCACATGCAAAGGTCAAATGATGGCCACGCGACCATTGCCGAGGGAGTTTCCGGCGGCTGCGAAAATTTGACGATCCTAAACAGGATGGCAGCGTAGATGCGGGTGGTTTCCTGCGTGATATGAAACGTCGTGAGCAACACACGACTGAGGTGGGTCGCGACGGAGCGGGAAAGGGGGTTCGTGTTTGAGGACGACAGGATGCGCGTGACGACCACATTGTCTGTCGAAGTCGCCGCCACAGCGACGCCCGTGCCGCGGTAGGACGAGGTGTTCTCGTCTGCAGCTCAAAAGTTCCAAAATCAGGCCCACCGGAAAGTTCATCGAACAAAATCCCGTCGACCGTGGCGTCTGGCGCCCCAATCAATGGCTGCAATGCTCGACGTGGACGGTTTTCCAGTGTGATTGAAATCTTGCGCGTCAAAGGTCTCATTTGGAAATTTCTCTGACGCCAGCTACCACAGCCAGATGCATCGCATGACCAAGGACGTGCCACCGACAGCGGCGACTATGACAACGACATTAGCAGGAACGGTGCGGTTGACCCCCGTCGGATACCGCGGCCGGTGCAAGTACAAGTCGGGGCGGTGCCCGAACGAGCGCACGCTCAAGTACAACGGCGAGGAAATCCACTCGTTGTGCGAAGAACATCGCGTCCGACACAACCGCAACCAGCGAAAAGCAGACACGAAGCGGCGCAAAGGGTGCGTGGATGGAGACAGTGTCATGCCCTCTTGGACACCAACGTCGCCGCGGGCCGCGCAAGCAATTACGGGCTGTCCAATGTCGGCAATGAACCACGATGGGCTGTTCCACCAACCGTCGCTTCTGCTCGCTAACGGCATGGACGACGACGCATTCGCAAACATCACGATGGACACAGCATACGTGGCGTCGGTGGACGACATGGATCTGTACTTCCAGGAAGACTACCCGACGTGGTCCAGCGAAGACGTCGCGATTCTCATGGAGTTTTTCGTCGATTCCAAGTGCTGACAACGTGACGTCTCAGGCACCCCGACTAGACACTCATGTTTGCGGGCTGCTCCATTGTACATTAACGAACTATGAACTATGTATACTATCCTCGCGCTGTGCGTCGGCTTGGACTACGAGCGAGCGCTCGATGGAATGGCACGCTTCGTCCCACGACACGAGGAAAACCTTTATACTATTATACAATCTCATTTCTGATACATGAAATCTCAACTTGGTGTGATTTTTGTCGGGAGATATCCTGCGATATCTGATAAAATATCTTGGGCACGTTCAATTTGGGACATTTGACATGCGTGAGATTGTTCGGACCTGATGAAATGTGCCGACATACAGTAGTGCCAAGTTGGTTCACTTCGACTTGCTTTCCTAGCCATTCATTTAGAGTCGGCGGACTGCCGTCGCTGCGTCAAACTCGACTGCGCTTGTCCGTTGCTTGCGACATGCTGCAAAGTCCAGGGCGGTCCAGTCAACGAAACAATTCGACGGTGATGCGCACGACAACTCACACAATGTCTTGCCGCGGTCAATTCATTCGAATGGTGTCGCCAGACACGGACGAAAACCGTCCACACTTCTTTGCGCACAACGAGACGCAGGTGCGAACTTCACCCATCCTGTATCCACACTCTTTCACGTCAACCATGTCGCTGTGGTCAAACGGTAGACTTTGTCAAACCCTTGATGGTACTGCTACTGGTGGCAATCGACATCCGACGCTGCAAGATGAAGGCATGAGTTCGAGATGGCAGAGACCGCAGAGCGTGCTTCACCTCTCCGATCGCTATTTTGCTCAACTTTTCTGGATGCAAATCGTTCGAGCACCATCACGAAGACAACCATGGCACACGGTACAAGCACGTACCCTCTGTCAACGCGAACGTAGCTCGGGCAAGACGGCGCTGCAAGCGAGTCGACATGGGTGGACTTGATGCCGATCACGTTGCGATCGGCATCAATGCGCTGACATGCATGTGACAATACATGGATGCAAGGATTCTCATTGGCGACTCTATTTGACATACCCTCTAATAGATAGTATTTTACTTCAGCAATCCCATTCTATTACTATATTGAATATAGACTGTAATAATTCATTTCCGTTGAAATATAATAGTATCTATTACCGTGGATGGCGCCTTCAACTCAACGTCGACAGGTTCCATATTTTGCGAGTTGCTGACATGGTCAACAGCCGCGGCATCGTAGGAGCCATCGCTGCTCTGTCCGTGGTCCACGCCTGCACGATCGTGGCTGTGACGAAGGAAGCGTCCGCCGACAAGACGCCACTGACAGCTCACACTGACGATGCTGGCTCGGGGGCAGCGGACCTTCGCCTCGTGTATGTGCCAGCCGCCGATTACGAGAACGGAACGGAGCGCGCGGTGTACTCTTTCAAACCTGGCTACCCTCGTGTCACCACCTGGCAACGCGGGCCACACTACGAACCCAAAGCCGGTGAAACCTTATCTGAACCCCTTGGGTACATTCCCCAAGTCGCCCACACGTATGCGTACTTCGACCAAGACTACGGCATGATGAACGAAGTCCAACTGAGCATTGCAGAAAGTACATGTGCTGCCAAGACAGTACGCCGACAATACTTGCATCCCGTAGCATTTCGTGATGACGTTGTGTTGGCGGATGTAGGTCGGGTGGCCCAGCGACGTTCCGTATGGCTACAACCTGTTTGGCATTGCCGAACTCACCAAGCTTGCACTGGAACGGTGTGACAGCGCCCGTTGCGCCATCACAACGATGGTACCTTTCCACTTCGAGTGTGTCGCTGGTAACCATTCAATGGCCAGGGCGACGCTGCAGTCAAGTATGGATTCTTCAGCGAAGACAGCGGGTCCCCGCACGAGCCAGGATACAGCGACACCGCGGAGGCGTTGGCGATCTCGGACAAATACGGCGAAACCTGGATTTTCCACGTGATGACAGGTCGTACACACCATACATGGACGTGAACTGATGCGCCGCGAACAGGGCCGATGAATGCCAGCGCTGTGTGGGCTGCGCAGCGCGTACCTCCCGGTCACGTCGCTGCGGTGGCCAACGGGTTCATCATCCGCCAGCTCAACTTGACGGACTCGGCAAACTACATGGCATCATCGAACGTCGAGTCGTTTGCGTTGTCGATGGGGTGGTGGGACCCGTCGGCGGGCCCGTTTGACTTCACAGCGGCGTACAACTACCACGCCCCGGACGGTCTCCGCTGCCCTTGCTTCGCCCAACCCACAACCTCCTCACTTTCCACGTGGCGTGTAGGTGCTATTGGCCCGCTCTATGTTGGACGGCGCATTTGGCGCATCTTGGATTGGTATGCCCCGTCGCTCAAGCTGAACGCGACGCTGGGCGAGTCGACCTTGCCAACGTATCCATTCTCGGTGCTGGCGGACAAACCCGTCACGCTCGACAGCTTGTTTACTCTGCTCAAGGACCATTACGAAGGCACGCCGTTTGACATGACAAAAGGATTGGCAGCCGGGCCATTTGGAAACCCAGTGCGGTACGCTACTCGCTTCCTGCGGCAGGATGCAGCGACCATCTTGCTCTGGGTGGTCGGGCCACTGACAATGGTTGTCGTGAACAGGTTCGACGGCCCAACGTATGGCATCGATGGCGGGTGGGAGCGGTCGATATCAATGTACCGCACCATGTTTAGCTTTGTCTTGCAAACCAACGGTGAGCAATCTCACGCCACGGATATCCTCCACTCGATATGAACGCGTCCCAGCCACTCATGGACCTAACCTGTCTGGGGGCTTGCGTCAAAATCGAGTTGAATCTCAACCATGTTGCGTAGGGAACCTGCCCGATCACTTGGGAGGCACTGCGTGGTATGGCCAAGGGTCCCCCCATGGAACGGTGTACATACCGTTCTCCTGCCGCCAAACGGCCGTGCCGACTTCGTATCTCGTGGGCAAGCAGAGTGAGTTCCATCCCGAGTCTTCGTGGTGGTACGATCCGTGGGTGCGCTCTGCTTCGATGGATTGCAGAAATCGACGGTCGTAGGGTATTCGACTTTGTCAACAACTGGAGCCTCTTGCGATTCAACGCAATCAACGCAGAGGTGCGCGCCGAAGCAAACGTGTGGCAGGCGCGTGCCGTCGCCGATCAGCACTCGTGGCGTCAGAAGAAAGATGTCACCATCGCGACACTCCAGGCTGCCAACAATGCGTTTGCAGACCAAGTGTTTCAAGCGTGGTGGGCGCTCGCGTGGCGCCTCGTGAGCAAATTCAGCGACGGCTACATCACGACCGGCGAAGGCGAGGCAGATACCAAGACTCCAGGGTACCCCGCTGCCTGGTTGCGCCAGACAGAATTCTTCAACTGGCCGGGCACGACGTTTCATCCACCGCCAGGTGAAGTCGTGACCGAATTGGCGCCTGCTGCCCATTCGGCAGCCGGTCGATCGACGTGGAGCTCGCTGGCCCTTGTGGTCACGGGGGTCGCAGTCGGGATGTGGGCCCAGAATGCTCGTAGGAGCTTTGTCCGACGATCTCAGTACGAGCGGCTGTTGTAAGTGCTCCAGCTCTGAGTTATTGTAAATGCATCGTCTAACAGCTTCTTGTTACGGCGTCATGTGTAAAACTCTAAATGAAATGCATCCCGAGGCCGATCTGGGCTCGTTTCACACGGTCCTGCACGTTAGCTTTCGTCAGGCGAGCGTAATCTCAAGAGAATCGAGAGATCGTCGTACCCCCTGCAACGACTTGAGTACCCACGAGTAGTTTGCTTCGAGACGGCCAAATCGAGTCGCGACAACAAGGCCGACGCCAGCTGCCGCGCGAGTGTCGTCGAGGATGTTTTTCATCCAGTTCTTCTCGTCCAGGACACGATTCCAGCCCATGACGGTCCCGGCATTCGCAAACACGTGGCCGCGCACGCCCAGCATCTACCGTGCGGTGAACTGCAACCCGATTTATCATCGTGTACCGCAAGGAGGGGAAGCGGAAACGGGAAACCCAAACTTGCCCCGACGCTGTAAAACACTTCGCCGCCCAACGAGTCGCCTGTCACGACCCCCCCGTCGTCCGGGTTGGCACGTGGCCCCACGCCCTACAACGACACACATCTATTACGTTGGCCGTGAAGATCCACTGCGCAAAGGGAGATCGCAATGAGACCATCAACCGACTCCAAAGTACACCAGCACATCGTTCACATGCAACTCAACATCGACGAGACATTGGCACAGCTCATGCCATTCACTGCGGCACAACGCACCTTGTGGTTGAATCCACGCAGCGAGAGCGGGCCGCCCAAGAAGAACCGATCCGAGATGCGAGCTGGGCGGTCTTTGTCAGCACCGTACGAATGCACCGCGCCCAGACGGGACGACAGCATGATGTTGAAGATGGGGTTGTTAAATGCGATGGGACCGATCGGAAAATTGTGTTGAATTTCCGCCTCGCCCTTGGTAAAATGGACGTCCCCCCAGAGCCCCGCGACTTCGGCACTGTTTTGCAAGGAATGTGATGAGGTCGGCATCGTGAGTTGAGGGCTACCTGACTCGAAGGAGGCGGCCGGACGTCGGCAGCGTCGAGTCGTTTCGTTGGTCATCGTTGAACGTGTACTATTGACGCATCCACAGGAAAGCAAACCGTGAGCCACACGATCGCTTTCTTGTGTGAGCGACGAAACGAACCTTGACACTGCTCTTCGTCGAAGGCACGGCTTCCGCCATGATGCTGAGCGAATCCTCCACAGTGAATGCCCGCTGAGAGCGTGGATTTCGCTGTATTACCTTGGAGATGCCGCGTACGTGTTGGGAATTTTCTTGTTGCGCACTGGCACAATATCGCGCCAGCCCAAGTTGAACGCGAGCTACGAGGTCAGATGGGCCATCAAGTCGGCAGATGGAAAAGCGTTGTTGTGAAGAGGCTTTACGTCATGCACGCCGTTGTAGTCGCTGATGGAGACTGTCCCACCACGGAACTTTTCCCGGAAGGAACTGAACCGCTCGTGAACCTGTTGAGTGTTTGAAACTGGAACGCGAGACGTGACTGCAGTACCTGCACTTCGTTCGCGGCGGTGGCGGTGAACCACCAAGGTCGGCCGAGGAATTTTGGGCGGCGGTACGAAAAGTTCTGACCGTCACTGCCGTATTGACCATGTGCGGCGCTTAATTCGACTTGCTCCGCATGGCCCAGTGGATTGGTTAGAGTCAGTTTTGTGTTCTAGAGCAACATGCATGGATAAGCAGGTGTCAGGGAAGGACATGGAACACACACCGCGGTGCCTTCGACGCCCGACGACTCGACTCCCGCATACAACGACAGCATGCGGGACTCCTTGACCGTAATAATGACGTCTGTCTCGTTATGTGCACCATCCGCGGATTTATCGACGAAAATGTCGACCGAGTCGAAAATGCCAAACGCGCGCAGCTCCTACACCACCATCAACGACATGACGATTTCCATGGCGACCACGATGGTGATACGAACCACTGCAGCTGCATTCAGCGACTCCATCACGCCTCCGAAGGTAGTAGCTGCATACGCTCTCTACACTCGACGTTAGCAGTTTTGCACCGACAACGAACGCCACAGTCGTCGTTGTTTGACCTGGAGCTCGTTTTCAAACAACGTCGGGCTACAAGCACACGTAAAAGCTGAGTTCGACAGGCGTCATTCGCATGACCATGTACCTCGTTCGCTTGTTTCCACGGACAGTCACATTTCGAATCTTCAGCGGCGGGCCTTCCACGAAAGGGTTTGGCGGGGGCGCCATGGTGGGCTTTGTCCAGTCAAATGCAGAATTGAGGTCTTGCATCCAGATAACCTGATTTATCCGGACATAGTCAAATTGTGATTGGTTGTAAAAGACTCATAATTCACTGAATAATGGCACATTATTGGATAACTCTCCAACTGGAGTGGAATTGATTGGACAAAACTGGTATTCGAAGTCACATCAACCGATGGATTTTTCCGTTTGGATACGCATCATGTTGGCGACCTCACGGCGGCGACTGCTTCTGCTGCCGCAAACTCGGAGCTATACCGTGCGTGGACGGCCTGAAGATATTGCGTACCTTCGTCAGCTTGGTCGTGATGACGACCACGTCACGCTGTACCTACCTGGTGATCCTTCCTTTCCGTCGTTTGCTTCGTCTTTGAAGCGAACGGCGATTCTGGAACTCAACAATCCGTCCGCCCGCAACGCGATGAGTGGCAAGATGATGGCTGAGCTCACTGATGCAGTTGGCAAATTGGATGAAGCAGCAGCTTCGCTGTGCTGTGTCATTGTCCGTGGCACCGGGGGTCACTTTTGCTCTGGTGCTGACCTTCGAGTCGCCAAGGAGCACTTGAGCTCCCCCGAAGGCGGCGCGACAATGAGTCGAGTTATGACACATGCTCTAACCCGTCTGCGCCGACTGCCATTGACAAGTGTCGCCGTCGTCGAAGGTGCAGCGATCGGTGGCGGGGCGGAGATCACGACGGCGTGCGATTTTCGAATCGTTGGCCAGTCGGCCACGATTCAATTCGTTCATGGGCGCATGGGCGTCTCTCCAGGTGCGGATGAATTTGCCTGCCATGCGCATGATATTGACGTGGCGATTTTCTGGCTAGGATGGGGCGGTGGTGCGCGACTTGTGCAACTGGTGGGGCGTCAGCGAGCGTTGCGACTCCTCGGTCGGACGGAAAAAGTATCATCAGACGATGCGTTGCAGATCGGTCTCGCCGATGCCGTGCTGGACGACGACGCCATCGAGGTTGGCGTGGACTCGTTCGTTCGTCCGCTGGATGCGCATGCTCCAGGTACCGAAATCAATGGCACGGTGGCAACGCTGCGCACTCGTTCTCTGCGACGTAGGAGTGCTGCACGGCATCAAGCGCGTGTTGTCCCACGGAGACGACTCCTCGTTGCTTCAGATGATGTCGACGGAGCATGCCGTGTTCCAGCAACTCTGGGGCGGACCTGCAAACGTTGCGGCGATCGCAAAATCGGTCAAATTATAGTCTCCGCCCGTTCAATAACCTCTGCTCGTTCCCACGGACCGACGTGTGAATGGGACGACTATCAACTCGACTAGTATGTCGTTGGGTTTGTCGTACAAATGTAGATAACGTAGCCGCGACGGGGAGGTCCTTCAAAAGGACCGTCCAAGTCGATGTCGAGAGCGTCCAAGGTTGACATGCCCCACGACATGCTGACCTCGTTGATGCTGCCTCGCGGTAGCCACCTACACCAGCAAGCGCCAGGATGTTACATGACCTGTCAGTCATGCGCTGATGGCTTTGAACCCTGGCCGCGACGGCATCCCCGCATCGCAACGATTGCATCCCGTTTTTTACTCCACCCTTTGTGTCCCCACTCACAACACGATTTCGTTTTGCTCGATGAAGACTGCAGTCAGTGTCTCTGTCGTTCATCGTCTCTTTCAAACGTCTATGAGGCGCGACCGACGAGCTTGGGCATCTTTTTGTTGGTCGAGTCTTCGACCTCGCGAGCTTTGTAGTAATGCGGCGCGATTTCGACCAGCCACTCGCCCTTGATCGGGACGACTTGGCGCATGTACTCTTTCGACGTGAACGCGAGTTCGTGATAGACGACCCACCGCGGCATCTCTTCGAGCTTGACCAGCACTGACGACGGGTGGATGTGGACCGTGTGCGTTTGTTTGATGGTTTTGTACGAACCGGACGAGTCGAGCTTGGCAGTGTTGTAAAAGTACCCGGCGCAAATGGATTTGCGGACGCCTTCCGTGTTTTGTTCGTTGGATGACTTTTCAATTTCGACGCGGTCGCAGAGCGCGGCGAGTTGGTCACGGACGTCGCGCGCCGTCTTGAGCGCCCTTGCTACGACAAAGTTTTCGTACGTCCATTGTGTCGAGTACTGCGTCTCGGCCCACTGGTTGTACACGTTCATGAGGGCAATGTGGTCACCGCCGCCACCGCGCGCAAAATTGAGCCGCGCGTTGTCAGCATGGACGGCTTTGTCTTTGGGGCGGTAAAAGATCGTGTTGTTCACACTCAGCATCGCGCAAACCGTGAGCACTTGCTCGACGACGCCGTACGTTTCGGACGCGAGCAGCGCCTTCGACATCATCGGGTCAAGTGGAAACTCGGCCATGCGCCGCCCGAGCTTTGTCAGTTCCCCGCGGTCGTTGAGCGCGCTAAGCGCGTACAACTGTTCCAACGCGCGAATGAGCGACTTTTCTGGCGGCGGGTCCATAAAGTCAAAATGGAGCAAGTCGTTGATGCCAAGCGACTTCATGAGAAGGACCACGGACGTCAAGTTGGTTCGCTGGATCTCGGGCACCGTTGTCTCGTCCAACTCGTGTTGGTACGACCACGCTGTGTACAGGCGAAAGCACTTGCCGGGCTGGGTGCGGCCGGCGCGTCCGGCGCGTTGGTTCGCCATCGCTTGGCTGATGGGCATCACGAGAAGAGATTCCATACCGGTGTGCGGGTTGTAATTCGTTTGCTTGCAAAACCCAGCATCGATTACGTAGCAAATGCCCGGGATTGTCAGAGACGTCTCGGCGATATTCGTCCCCAGCACAACCTTGCGAGCGTTGGGCGGGGTTGTTTCAAAGACTTGGGCCTGGCGCTCGGACGGGAGCGTCGAGTAGATTGGTCGAATCAGGAGCTCTCGGATGCGCGACCCGAGGCCACGCGTGCGAAACAGCAGCATCTCTTCCGCCGTTTCAATCTCTTCTTGGCCCGTCAAGAACACCAAAATGTCGCCGAGAGGCTGCGTGATGTGCAGTTGGAGCACCGTCACGATCGCAGCGTCGAGGTAGTCGGCCTCCGGCGCCCGCGTGTACAAAATGTCGACGGGAAACATCCGCCCGGGGATTTTGACGATCGGCGCGTTGTCAAAGTAGACGCTAAATTTCTCCGCGTCCAAAGTCGCCGATGCAATGATGATCTTGAGGTCTTCGCGGTACCGCGAGATGTCCTTGATGAGGCCAAACAAGATGTCCGTGCTCAGCGTGCGTTCGTGGGCTTCGTCGATGATCATGACCGAGTACGATTTAAGATCGGGCTCGGTAAGGAACTCACGCAGGAGCATCCCGTCCGTCATGTACTTGATGACTGTCTTGTCGCTCGTACAGTCTTCAAAACGGATGCTGTACCCGACTTCGTTGCCGAGCTTGACATTCATTTCCTGCGCGACGCGGGCCGCGACACTCATGGCCGCAACTCGCCGCGGCTGCGTACACCCGATCTTTCCTACCTGCGAATACCCAACTTCGTGGAGGTACTGCGGCACTTGGGTCGTCTTGCCACTACCTGTTTCCCCGACCATGATAATCACCTGGTGGTCGCGCACGGCTTCCAGCAGGACGTCGCGGTAGGTGTAGATGGGCAGCCGCTTCCGGCTCTCCTGCATGTCCAGATGCTTGTGTTCCTCGGCATTTTTCCGAGCGTCCTTGATATCATCGGCCGTCACGTTCTCGCCCGCCATCATGCGCTGCGAAATGAACTCAATCTGGTCGTCAAATTCAAATTCGTACGTCTCCTCGGGCGCGCGGTCCTTCGCACCGTACAGGCCCTGTCGCTGCGCGTTCTTCAGCTGTGTTTCTTCCCAACGCTCTTGCTCAGTCTTGACTTCCTCTTCCTCGTCGTCATCGTACAGCTCGTCTTTTGGCACGACGCGCTCGCCGTTCTCATCGTATTGGTCTGCGGCATCTGGGATTTGGTACCCCATCGTTTTGTCGCCCTTCGCCTTTGCTTTCTGGATCGATAAGATCGTCTCGTTCAGTTCAAGCTGCTTCCTTTCCTTCTCGGTCAGGTTTTCATCCCCAAACAGTAAATGCTCGTCTTTGATGGACGATTCCACGAGCTTCTTGAGCTTCTCCTCGCGCTGCTCCAAGTACTTGCGCCGCTGTGCGAGCTTGATGGCTTCGAGTCGCTCGTCACGTAGTTTGTCCGATACAGCCCCACGCGTCGCCAATTCGCGAATCTCGTCGGCATCCAATGTCTCTTCTTTGTACTTCTTGCGGCGATTCCGAAATTCTTCATCCTTGGCGCGCAACCGATCTTCGAACGCTTCTTTGGCCAGTTGATCTTCGTCGACCTCGTTTTCTGCCGCATCTCCACTTGCGCTTTGCTCCTTCTGCTTCTTGTACGCAGATAGAGCAGTACCAACTTGGTATTCCTCTGTGTCTTCGTCTTCGTCCTCGCGTGTCCGCCGCTGCTTTCGCTTCTCCGGTTTCCTGGACGCCATGTGTGTGGTGGCTTGCCCAAGTGTGGATGGGATGAGAATGTACGACCAATGGTACCATACATTTATGCTGTACGGTACTCAAAATACTTCAATACACTTGAATTGTACAATGTACAGCCCACCAAGTCGCACATGTTCGTACAACGTTTGGATTGGTCCATGGGTTTGAACATGCTTCGATTTTGCACTCGCGATTTCGTTCCATCTTCCGACACGGCGCGGCGGCGACACCGGCACCGGGATCGAGATGGCCGCACCGGTCATTGAGTTTATCGATGAGGAGGTCGACTTTTCAACAATCGTGCGTGAGTTATTGATCGCCAGCAGGCAGCAGAGCGCTCCTGCCACCGCCACATCGTTGGGGATATTGATTTGGCACGTCTCCTTCGTGATTGTTCTGACGATGCATGTGGGGTACCTCGTTCGACACTTGATGCCTCGGCGACGTTCTAACACTTGCCGAAGAATGTCGAGCACATACGTTCAAATTCCCCTGCGCCGAAATGAAGGTGCACCCAACGGCATGGCCCACCCTGTCCATTCACACCTAGCCAATGTCATCCCAGGCTCCGTCCTCTTTGCCGCATTTACCACCATCTACTACGGCATAAAACTCCACGTCTCCCAAACAACTGCCATCATGTCGATTTTAAGCCACTGGTCGTACTCCCTCACGATGATTGGAGTGCTTACCAATGCCTTTGCCAGTACGCATGACGTAGTTGGGACGATTGCAAGTCTTGTTGGCCTGGCAATTGTTTATCCGCCTGTGCTATGGAGCACCTGGCTTGAAGAGGGATGGTTCAACCCTCGGTCGTCCCAACCTCTCTTTGGTGTTGGTGCTGTGGACTTCGGAGGAAGTGGCGTGCTTCATGTCGTCGCTGGAATGATGGCCTTGGTGGTGTCCTCGGCACTGCCTGCAACGCCTCAATTGTGCTCCATACCCATCACGACATCCCACACTGGCTATTCCTTTGCTCGAACCGCAGCGCTGTGGCTTGGCACGTGCGGCCTGCTGGTCAACCGAATCAATCTTGTCGTGCCGCAGTTGTTCCATATGGCTGCGATGGTTGCGTGCCTCGTCAACACATCGTTGGCGTTTGCTGGCGGAGGACTTGTCGGGTTCTTAATTGAACTGTTCAACTCGAACAGCGGAACGAACTCTGCTTCAGTGCTCCACGCGTCCTGTGCTGCGGCCATGGTGGCCATCCGTGGTATTGGCCCGTTGGCCGAGCCACATGTCGCCTGCATTGTCGGGATCTCCGCCGCAATCATCGTGCATTTTGCTCGCCAAATCAAGTGGTTGAACGCTATGGAACCTTCACTTGGGCAAGCCACATCCGTCCATTTGTTTGGAGGAATGTGGGGTGTGTGTATGGGCGGCCTCGGTGGATCCCCACGCAGCCACGACAGCATGTATGGCAAGCCCAGCTTTGGCCTGTTTTACGAACATCAAGGCAGCGGTGGCATAGGAGCAAAACAATGGTCGGTCAACCTCTTTTATCTGAACTGCGTCATCATATGGACTGCTTCTGTCTCCTTTGTGCTGGTTTTTGTCCTTCGTCGATGTGGCCTTCAGCAAGACCTTTCCAAAGTTGCGTTCGACGTGGATTTTTCGCGAGATAACGGGTATACCGCGTTGTTGGATGAGCACGAAGGTGGCGACGTTGGTGGCACGCCGATGGAGGACCGGAATCTCCACTACCCTGTCGACCACCGTCGTTTGTCCGACATTATGGGACGGCTCTCGTCAGTGCAGTCGTCGGTGGTGTCGGGCTCCGAGTCACCGTCACTTGAAGATCTTCAAGAGCGACGGCGCAACTCACCATTTGCATGGGCTTGACTGCTCGACCTCGATATCACGTATTCCTTGGCCCAAGGCAGCCAGTGGGCACTCGGCGACGACTGCAGTGACAGCCAAGATGGAACGTGGTTCTGCCACGCCGCCTTCATTTCTCCATTCCGTTGTCCGATGCAACGCATGGTGTTTGCTCGATGGTTCTATTGGGTAACATGGCGACAAGCGATCAGAAGAGTTTAAAACGCTGGTCCGATTTGATCTTTGTTAAAGTTGCCTCCGCTGGCGTCAGGATTTCTTCATGAACTTGCCAGAGTCCGCTCCAGAGTATTTAAAAGGCCATCGCGAGGAACAATTTACACATTGTCCTGTTTACACTTCTCCAACTCGGGCTAAAACAATGGGTCTTGATACGTATGCAATGCCACCCCCGATGAATAGAACCGAACGGTGGACGACTGCCCGGGACGAATATGAACAAGCGAAACATCGTCGTCGACGGACTGTTTGTGTCATGACTGTTGTAGCATGCACCGCCATTGTCCACGTGCTTGCCAACGACAGGATCGCCCTGATGACAGGCCTCCTCGTCGTCGATGTCGCTACCGTCGTCTCGACTACGAAGATGCCCTTCCGCATTGGCAGTTTGTGGCTTTCCCGGAGGTGCTTTCAGTACAATAGCCATCGTCTCAAGATAAACGTGATCATGCCCGTCGTGGCAGCTCGCCACTCATATCGCGTCGACGACAGTGTTGGAAGTCGTGTGTACTCCAGTACGAAACGTGGTGGGACGGCACCAAGTCTAGTATGGCGAAAGACTCCAAACCAGTTGGTACGTCTGCCTCGAATATTCGTCGCGACCTCGTGCGATGGAGACTGACGGGTGTGGTTCTAGTAGGCGATGTGTCTCTCGCTGCGTGTTCGTGCTTTTGTTATTGGAGGAAATGTGCGAGGTCTAATGGATCATAACGACCCACCATGTCGTCAAGACTACGCTAGTCATGTGGAGCTTTGCCATGAACTACCAGCCTGAGAGCGTACTGGTGCTTTTGTTGCACAACGGGTCGGACGTACCGCTGGGTCAGTTAAAAATGGTAATCTCCTTTCAACTCGAAGGTCACATGGGGATTATATCACGGAAGGGCTCTTCGCCTTCACGGTCGATGTGGCTCTATATATTCTGCGTGTACCTGTTTCCAGCCATATCGTCTCGACAACGATTTGGGAAAGTCGAGTGGCGTGGTGCTTGCCCACGAAGCGATTGACTTTCGATTGTGCCCGTCGCCAGGGCGAAACCCGTAGGTCCTCTTCCACCTCCTGCTTGTTCCTGTGTCGCCAAGAGCGGCGTGCGTTCGGCCGGCAAGTCGTCAACGAAGGCGAGTCGAACCGTGAAAACAAGTGCTCTTGCTGCAACACTTTGAAAGCAGGCGGTCGGAGCATCATGTGGAGCGCGTACAAATCACAAATGACTTGTGTCTTGGTTTTGTCGCCCAAGTAGAGCAGCCGTCAGCGAAAGACGAGACTCGCTGAACCCCAGGCACGAACAGAAGAGGATGGTCTAGATGTACCTAACGAGGTTGCTCTTCCCGCCCTTCTTCTTGAACTCCTGGTGTTCTCTTTTCTGGGGCGGCAGCATGAAGAGCTACAAAGGCTTGTACAGCTTGCATCCGTGCGCGAGCAACTACACGTGCGTGAGGCGTTCATCCGTGTCCTGTTCGACAGCAAACGAGTTGATGAACTTGCAGATGGCATGACGAGAGTTGTTCATGGACGGATGAGGTGTGGCGTCCTCCGACCTTCGGTCCGTGACTTTGACGGCGCAGTTCGTGATCACGGTGAACCGAATGCCATCCCGGACGTTGACAAGGGCGACGCCGGGCAAGAACCATTGTTACACTACGTTCCAGATCGTAAAGATTGACTAGCCCATCAACTACAACTGCGCCGATCAACTCGAATGCAAAGATCTAGCGCTAGTTCCAGCTAGTCCCACTTGCCGACGACGGTCACAATTGTGGCAAAGGCATGTCTAGGTCGAGAGCGATTCGTTGAGTGGCTGGACCTTTGCCGAGGACGTCGCCAGGACATTGTCGTCGAATGCTGTACCACACGATGTTGATAACGTGGAGCGCGCTGATTGACTACATCACGCGCTTCTGGCGGAACTGCCAGAAGGCGACCCGCCACGCCCTGATGCTGTCGCCACGATGCTGTTCCTCGAATACGCAGAGATCATCGAACCGACGACGATCACGCAAGGAATCAAGCAAATGCCGTAGGGGACGTTGGGCGCGAGCGAGAACGGTCCGATGTACTTGGCCTCACTCAAGTCCGAGCTCAGTCACTGCCAATATGGTTGTGATTCAAACCCAGTAGGCCCGGGCAAGCCTGGGTCAGATCGCCGCGTGCCCCACCGTCGATCTTGAATTGTTGTGGCTCGGCGTGCGAATGTTTCAGAACTTGCGCCGCACCATGGAGGCACGACACTCAGCTGCATTAAAACGTCATGATTCAATCCATGTCTACCTCATGCAGTCACAGCGCGATCTAGTCTGACCATGAAACTACTCGTCCTTGCCCGAGTCCGAAGCGCCTTCGTATTCATCTTCAGCCACGTCGTGCACGCTCTTGGTGAGCACGCCCTTCAACAGACGCAAGATCAAAAACGTCCACCAGATGTGAAGCAAGTAGAGACTTCCCAAGAGGATGTTGAACGCGAGCCACGACGGCGGCCCAGGGTACGGGAAAACAACGTTCAGGTCGTGGGCCTCATGAGGCAAGCAGCACGCTTCACGATTCTCCCAGAACGACGTGTAGATGAGCTTGGCCGGGTACAGGTACACACGAAAGTAGACCCACACCGACAGCATGATGGCAAACAAGACTTCTGTGACGAAGAATCCCTTGCGGTCTTCGAGCTTGAGATAGTTGGCCATCTTCAACAGGTCCAGCGGCACATCCGACGCGTCATGCAAAAGGAGGACCAACACACCCACGGGAAGGAAGCCCATGGCAAAGCTCCACGTAACCAGTGCAATCGTGACGACGTGGTGCGTCATCATGATCAGGTAGTCCTTGCGCACTTCTTCCAAGAACTTGCACGAAAACGCAGTGTAGATCCAAATCGCCTACCAAACTCAGGTCAGGACAGCGCACGAATTGTGGGCTTAAGACGGCGCGTACGAGTTGCGTGATGTACAAAAAGTTGGTTAGGAACTTCTGCTCGGGAAAGTCGCACGTTGGGCTCTTTGTGTTCCACACTGTCGATGGCAATCGCGTCAGACAGGTAATTCATCAGGCGTGCATGACGTACAAGTCGTCGTATCTTGCCACCACGTTTCATCGCGGATGACGAGGTATTCCAGCACAGACATGGAGGCATGGATGACCAGTTGCCACGACTGGTCAGTGAATTTCCGCATCGTGACTTCCTTGCGCAGGGGATCTCCGAGATGCTTGAGGAAGTTGCGCGATACATACCCTCCCACAACGCGGAACGTCGCCTTGGTCACCCACACGGCAATTGCCACCACGACGAGCATTCCTCCGAGCATGACGAGCAGATTTTGCGGGAGGACGCGGTAGATGACGACGCACTCCACTGCCACCATCGAGCAAAGGAGCCAGTCAAGGAATGCATTGGGTTTGGGGACCTTCTTCGACGCGGGCAAGGGCTTCTTCGGGGCTTCCGACGTCGGTGCCTTCGCAGCCATTTCGTCTAGTGGAGAGAAGGCAAATTGAGCAAACAACGTCATATTAATTCAAGAGATAAACTTTAACAGTTTGTTTCTACCGGGAATGCCGGAAAAGTCCATGAAGCAAATATTAAAACAAAACGTATATTGAATGTTGCAGGTGTCCTGGACAACCCAGTCAACCACCTTCTGTGAGAAGACTACGTACCAAGTCCTACATGATTGTCCACAGCAAGTGCACGACGACGTTGGTCGTCTTTGCCACATGACGGCGCGAATCAACCTGTACTCACCCTCCGCCACGCCACGTACACTCTTGGGCAGCACGCCCTTTCTTAGCACATGAACAAAGTCGAACGTCCACTACATGGCAACCGATGGGGTATGTTCTCTCTTGTGACGTGACAAGAGCGAACATTGAGTCGTGGGGGCAAGGATTGTTTTTCGCGGTTCTCTCGAAGTGTTCATGATCTTGTGGGAAATAAGCTCACACGAAGAAAGATAAGCATGGTAATAGTACATGGACGAAGCCGAATCCATCATCATCTTGGTGAGACTACGCCACGAAACCCCTCCATTGTGAACTTGTCCAAACTCCAATTCATAGTCACATCATTTTATAAAGGTTGTAAAGACTAGAAGAAAGCTTTGAAGATTTCAAATTGACGTATCCGTTTCTACCATATATCCAAATATAAGGGTATTCCTTGCCTATCCATGTGATGCCGTTGCCGCGCTCACGGGGCGCCATTCTGACCAAGCGCAGGAAGCAAGAGCTTGCTAGACGAGTGCATGCATCATAGAGTTAGGTGTGTTATGCTCAGAAATCCTCCCTCATGCCGAAGCTCCCGACATGTGGCTCAAAACGTTTTCGCTTCGCCTAAGAAGGCACTTGCTTCCAGACCAGGGCTAGACGTTTTCGTCGGGTCTGTGCACGACATAGTCACCATACATCTCAGCAAAACCGACCGACGCTTGGATCGAGAGGATGGCAGGCACAAGGAAACACGTGAGCGTTCAAGGATCGATTGCATGCAACAACACAAGAGGGGATTGATTGACCACTCACTGCGTCAACGCATGTGCTGGTTTTCTGCAGTCAGAATCGCGACGCTTTCGAGGTAGACCAAGTTTTGGAGGTCGTGCTTGGGCATTTCAACGCCTTGGTCCAACGACTCGCGCTCAAAGTCAAAGTTGAACGGCGACGACGCGACAGGTTCGTCCGCCTACGCACAACACCCTGTCATGCAGGATCCAACCGCGCAAGGACGCTCGTTCAAGCCATACGGGGTTGTGGAGCTGGGTCAAATACGGATGCTCGAGAGCTTGGGTCACTGTGATGCGTTCGTCTGGGCTGAACTTCAGCATGCGGGCGAGCAAGTCGATTGCGAGGGGGTTGGCATTGGGAAAGAATTCGTTCAGCGGGCGCTACCGTCACGATTCCCATCAACTTCGTATTGCAAAGGGACCACACCTTCGGATAATATCCATGCTGTGTGATGGCCTTCCTGGCCGCTTCATGCGTGACAAAATTCATTTCGTCGGGCGTCGGGGATCCCAATATTCGGACAATCATGTGCAGTTGATCCGAAGGATCTTTGCCAGTGAAGAAGGGACGGCGCTTGAGCATCTCGGCGAAGATACATCCAATGGCCCACATGTCGACGGCGTTGCCGTAGTTCTGGCAGTCCGTGAGCAACTCGGGCGCGCGGTACCACCGGGTGACGACGTACTCCGTCAGGTCTTCGTTGTGGGAGAGCTCGACCCCGCGGGCAAGGCCAAAGTCGCAGATCGACAGATCGCAGTTCGAGTTCACGAGCAGATTCGACGGCTTGAGGTCACGATGCAGGACGTTGGCGGAATGGATAAACTTGGTGCCGCGGAGGATCTGATAGAGAAAGTACTGAAAGTGCGCGTCGCTCAGCCCCTGCGACGACGAGATGATGCGTTCCAAGTCGCTCTCCATCAAGTCCGTGACGATGTAAATGTCGTCAAAGTTTGTCGTGTTGGGGGGAATCAGGATCACGTCGAGAATCTACGCACGGAATGTCACGAAATGTGGCAAGACGACGACGGAGCATCGCACGTTGATGATGTTCTCGTGGGCACCGAGGTGTTTGAGCAGCTTCATTTCCCGCAAGATGCGCTTCGCATCCGTGAGGTCGTCAAAGACATCTGTGATCTTCTTGATCGCGACTTTGCGACCTCGCAACTACACAAGTCCAACAGGGCATGATGGAAACTATGGCATGCGAGTGCACGACAGTGAACTCGACTCACCGTGTCCTCCGCCGACACGACGATGCCGTAGGATCCCCCGCCGATGGGCCGCAGGTTCGTGTAGTGCGACCGCACTTCGAATACGTCGCGGGAAACAGTCACGCAGTGGAAATCGGGGCCATAGCGCGACGGCTCGACGGTCGACATGCCCAAACGTCCAAAATGCAGAAATATCGCACCCTGCCGTTTGGATCTTGGGGATCCCACAAAAAAAAACAAGTCTTTTTGCTGCCCTTCTTTTTGCGTTGCAGTCGTTTTTCTATTGAATTTTCTTATTTTCAGCCATGACAAGCAAAAAAACCTTCACTTGGCCAGAACGGTTTCATGGGGTTCGAAAATTCGACAATATGAAACATGCAACTCCCGCACGAGGCCGATAGAGACTATGGGAACGGGCACACGACTACCGAAGTCTGCTCGCATGCCGGGTCGTATTCGCAAGGACTTGTGCTGCATGGTGCTTCACGCAAGTGATCTTGCCCCCCCTGAAGTAGGGGACCAGTGCACTCCCGTTCGAAGTTAGCCTTGCGAAGTGGTGGTGTGGCATTGCGCAAGCTGGCGTGGAAATAGCATAGCGTATGCTTTGGACGAGTTCGCAAACGACTTGGCTGTGTCCTTTAGCGGCGCTGTGTTTCGTGGGAGCTCGAAATCGTCGGCGGATACAAAGCTCATCTCGGATCGACTAGTTTCGGTGAGCCCCCAGGCACTGGAGCTGCAAGAACTATTATCATCGCTGGAGGGAATCGCTGGACCGTGTGCTTCTTCGACAACAGTATCCAAGACCCCGCACCGCACGATGCACTTTCGATCGGCCATGCGAAGTCTGTACTGCGGAATCACGTCGCGACAGAAGTAGTCGACGTGAGAGGGATCGCAGACGTCTTGGCTTCCGACAAAACCGCGGAGGACAGACGCACACTGCAACTGAAGATCTTTGTCGAGTCCGTAGTCGGGATCGGTCAAGAGAACATGGACCCCGCGGAGGTAGGCGAGGAAACATTCTTCTCGGTGGCGGCGGACTCGTCGCGTAACGAAAGCAGATCGCTTGGGGAATCGCATGCGCTTCAGGTGGTCCACGACGGTGTGTAGCATGAAGTAGAACGGTTCGAGAACTTGGAGGAGTCGCGTCCGAAGAGCATCAAAGTCCGAGTACCTTCGATGCACGACCCAACTCCGTCCGGTCTTGGTGTTTTGCACTGTGACGGTGTAAAGGCGGTGGTGAATGGATGCGGCGTCGTCCGCCGCGTAGACTCCTCCCATCAGCAGGTTCGACGGAGGAGGGGTGCGAGAAGTTGCCGCGAGTGCGCGAACATGGCAAATGTCGATCTGTTCCAGGTGTTCCATGGCCGCCTCGACGCCACCCTTTTTGCGAGGAATGTAGCGAATCGCGGGCCCACGGTGACGGAGATGGGTTTGCATACGACTTGATGAACAACTGATCGCCATGACCAGGGAGCGGCAGTTTCGCGGAGCGGAATAGTCGTTGGAGATCGAACTTTAGCGCAACATTTTTAATTTCGACGTTTGCAGAAAACTATTGATTTTTTCAACGAATACTGAAAACCTGGAGCCATTCATCATCTCGACAACGAACAGACAGATTTCGCAAACGCTGGTTCTATTCTACACTCCGCGCCTCTTGATTCATCATTATATTCGAGCATAATTTTTATCCAATCAGTATCAGAGCTTCAAAAACAATCAAGACTGCCAGGATTTTTGGCCGAAACTCTCGATTGCCAACTTTTGCCTCGCAAAAAGCGAGCTCTCGCGCCAAAATCAGAAAATTTGATTTCACGACCGCGACATTAAATTAGCGCAAGCTCAGTCACGTTTGAATTTCTCACGTATTAGAGACAAAGCAGGCGTGTAAGCACTTGTCCATGATTCATAACTATCCTCTCATACATATTCAGCATCAAATAGATTGGGTTCATGGGAAAGAACTCCAACTGACCCCCGAAGAGGTCGCGTCGGTGGTGGCTTTCCGCAGGTGCGGAGAGTCGACCTCTGAGATCGCCGAGCTCATGGGCCGCAACGAAGTCGAGTAACAAGCGTCCTGATGTACCCTGACTAGTACGGCAAGCGCTACAAGGGCCGAACAGCGAGCAAAATGACCAAGCGAATGGAGCGGCAAATCTGCAACAAGGCATCAAAGACGGGTCTCTTAGCCAGTACGATCCGCTGGGCGTTGAGTTTGGAAGTATCTGTGCGCACGGTTCAGCGTACTCTCCGAATTGTATCGTGGATGAAGTATTGGAAGCGAAAGGCGTCTCCAGCGTTGACAAAACGGCACATGCAAGCACGTCTTGAATACGCCAAGATGCATGTCGCCAAGCAAACCGATTTTTCGCATATTCTGTGGACTGACGAGCAGCGTTTCAATTTGGACGGACCCGGCGGCTTTCAGTATTTTTGGCATGATCTGCGCAAGGAGCCCGAGTCATTTATGACGCGTCAGAATGGCGGAAGGGGTGTCATGATCTGGGGTGGATTTTCTACCCATGGACTTACGGAATTGGCCATTTTGGACGGGAACCAAATGTCGGACAAGTGTGTTGACACTTTGTCTATTTACTAGTTACCATATCTTCCCAATTGGCGGCAGGCAGTATTTATCCGTGGATGACCTCAAAACTGCCATTTTGCGTGAATGGAGCCAAGTCGCCCATGAGCTGCTACTTTCACTTGTTCCGTCAATGCCAAACCGTTGCTTCGAAGTCGGGTGCAAGAACGGAGGCAAGACTCAATATTCAGGAGATTTCGGAGGCATGAAATCCCGATCCTCATCCGTCAATTTCAAGGGACGCGGAAAAGAAACGGATACGTTTTCAAACATTTCGCACTAAAAATAGAGTCCCTATCCTTAGAAGAGATTGCCATTGCCGAAAACACCATGCTTACATCGACCGAGCTATCCTTGCTCGTACGCCGCCGTCGCTCGATGTCTTTGCATCGTCGACTATTGTTCATCGATATCCTATTTGCATTAATCGAGCGGCCAATCATACCCGATATCCGATACGGCATCACCCAAACGAACGACGCCGACGCAATTCTCAAGTTCCGCTTTGACGTTTGTGACGTCATGAAGCTCACCGCGCTACTCAGAGTCCCTCTCAGAGTCCCTGGTGTATTCATTACCAAATTAATGGACCGCTGCAATGCTGTCGAGGCGGTTTGCACTGTTTTGTTCCAGTTGTCTTATCCTCGGCGATACATCGACATGGTTGAGCTCTTTGGCCGTTCCCGCGAATCGTTGTGTCGGATTTTCAACGACATGGTGGAACTCTTGTACAATACATGGAAGCAGTTGATCTACTTTGCTCTCGATGTTGTGCGCCCACGACTCCGTTTCTACAAAGCCGCCGTTGCTGCCAAGGGTTCGCCTGTGACCAAGCATATATGCGTTCATAAATGGCTCCAAGATTCCAACGTGCCGCATAACACAGTCACCAGGTTTGGAGGATACCCCTGACCTGCAGCGCTACATCTACAGTGGGCACAAGCGGATGCATTGCTTGAACTTTCAAGCATTGACTGCACCTGACGGAATGTGTATACATTTTTGGGTCCCAATGAAGGCAGCCGCCACGACACGACGCTTCTTCGCAAAAGCCAGCTTCTATGTTATCTTGATGAGCATGCCGCATTCTTCGTGGATTCGTTCATTTACGGGGACCCAGCGTATGGATGTATTCCGTGGATTATGTCTGGGTTCAAAGGAAAGCGTATCAGTCAGCAGCAACGATCCTTGAATGGTGCTATGAGCCGTGTCAGACTGGCAGTTAAATGGTCTTTTGGGCGCATGAAGACATTATGGCCTGCTATCACATTCAAAATGCAACAGAAAATCATGCTGCAAAACGTGGGAAAAGTTGTGTGTCTGTCGATGCTACTGACAAATTGTAGCTGCTGCTACAACCGAGGAAATCAAATTAGTTCGTACTTTGGTTTAGTTCCACCACTCCTTGAAGAATATCTTATCAAATTGTGAAGTCAATTCAACTGTGATTTATGAAATGTTAATGCTTAGCCAAGCTAAGACGAATGAGTTCCATCATGTCGGCATGCTTCTTCAACTCCATTTCTCGCATTTCCGCACGCTCCTTTCGCGCTTCTGCTTGTTCGTGAATGTCTGCTTCAAGTTTCTTGGTCTTGTACTCCAACTTTTGTTGTTCCAGGCGTATCTCGGCGTTCTGAAGATCTACGAACGCCTTCTTCTTGCTCGTACTGGACCCGTCGTCTTCGCCGTTGTTGATTTTGCGCTTCGATGCCCGCTGCATGGCTTCTTCACGAATCAAAGCCGTGGCGTTCGCTTTCGTGTCCTTGGCGGCTTCTTCAACAGCTTGATGCTCTTCCTTGAGAACCTTGT